ATTCGTTTCTTTTGGAATATTATAAACGTTAATCTTATAGCATTAGATGTGTTTAGACACGTATTGTTGCGAATTGTAGCTTGTAACCAACTGAGAAGCGATTAACTGTACATCTCCAGGGCTTGTGCACTTCTGGTTCAACAAGTTATCTTGTAACCTTAAAACATTACAGAGATGTTCATCGAAGTGTAGTATCTGAACTATACACTTTCATTTGTGTAACCGATTCCATAGAACATTGATTCCCAGGAACAGGCCAATAGCTTTCCAAACTTTAGTAATAATTTTTTTTTTTTTTGAGGGGGGGGGGTAAAATATTTTTTGCATGGAGAGTTTATATTCCAGTTCTGAAGTATGCTATCTTGATATAGATATCCTTCCGTTAAATTGGATACATATACAAAGCCGTTTTAGGTTCAGTAATAATATATTAAAGTTTGTATTACATATCGTTTCTCATCCACTTCTAAATCATATAGGTAAAAATTATTAAGCCATCATGGTGGTTCTAAATAAATAATATTTAAAAGTTATTAAGTCCGAGAGAGTCTCATGAATATTTAATATTTAAATGGACATTTTTCTCAAACAGTTTATTATCTCTAGTATTGTATTAGATTGTATGAAAAAAATATTTTAGAAAACATTGCCTCACTCGAGAGCTCTTTTAAACGACAAAAGAAAACGTATAGCAACAAGATGTGAGAACTAACACCTCATTAAGACCAATGACTTTTTATAAAAGAATTCTCCCTTATAAAGTCACACAGTAGAATGCAGAACTATAGTATTGAGGTGGCGGTATAAGACCTGAGGCAGTGGCTAAATGTTTGCTGAAGATTAGCTTTTAAACTCCCATTGTAACAAATCTCACACCTCTCCCATTCTTTTTCCATCGTCAATTTATTCGTTTTTCATTTTTGAGATGACTCGATTGGAATATCAGAAAAGTAAAAAAGAGTGTGGAAATAAAAGTAAACTGTGTTTTATTAGTTCAGAACAAAGAATAAACATATCCCTGACAATAAACTTAACAGGTTTCTATGGTGTCGATAGCTTCATAAGTTCATAACAATGTACTCTTTCATCTTATATCGTTTTCAAAAGACCCTATTACTATTAGTTGTAAAACTAATTTTTTTTCTTTTGCATGTACGTAGCTTTCTTGTGTGCCTTTATAAGTACTAAATCCAAGCTTTATAATTTTAATTGTAATATCTGCCTTTTAATGTTCGGAACAATATAGTTTGAAACCCTAGTCACACTTCTTACGAAAAGAACTAGGGTAATACCTTTAACTATGTAGCATAATTTACACGTGCAATACTCATGTTTATTTTGTATGTATTTTTTTAATGGATATGAACGTTAATTGAGCTACCAACAACAAGTGCCAATGAAACTTTTGTTGAATATCCCAATTTTTTTAAAGGATAAGCTTAAAGGGTAACATATTGTAATATAACTTTAACGAAAATAAAAATAAATGTCAAAAATAGTTTTTGTTTACGAAATATACACAAAAAACTATGAGAAAAATTGAAAATTGGTAAACATATTCAATTTTTATAAGCCTCAAAAGTAGAATTGTAATTCATGCAAAAGATACTGCAGTGCGAAAAAAATTTTAAAAGTTATTTACAAGAGTTTTGTCTGGTTCTGGCAAGTACATTTCATCCAGGAAATATACAATATGACCGTTGCTCTACAATTATAGTATATGAAATAAAATTGGTGAATAATAACACGTTATTTTTCCTATAGGATTGTTGTATTTTTGGTCTACATAATACAAGACTTAGAAAAACTTCTCAACTTAAACCGATTGAAAACACAGTTGATTTTATGCAAAGACATGCCTTTGGTAGTCAAACTAATATAAACGCTTGTAAAATATAAGGGACAAATAAATATGTGTGAACTTTATTAGAACTCGTCATATTAGCCTGATGATCATGTTTTAATAATAGATCTCTATATAATATATAGAGATTTATGGTTTCAATACGTACATTGTGGTGCAGTTTCAAATACAATCAGCTGGTGACGAGGTCATCAGCTGTTACATTGTTGTTCGTTCCAATCACTACAGTAAACCAGCAAACGTGTGTTAAACTTTTCGATTGTAATAGTAGTCGATAGTTAGTTGCTATTGATTGTTGGTGCAGTGTATGTTGTTTACATTCAAGTTCGTTGAGACTACGAATTTCCATTTATCTAGCTGGATTTCGATTGGCCATGGCGAAAAGGGTTTTTTCGTTTACCAAAATAACTTATCATCCTTTAAAATTTAGTTGGAACTAAACAGTGTTTTCTTGGTCCTACTAATCAAATTTGAATAAACAATTTTGCTAACAATAGGTCGTGAAAAGATATACAAGGGAGGTATTTCAAAAAATCCTACGCTATGCTGTTGGTTTAAAAAAGATTTAACTCTAACTTAAGGTTATTTGACTGCAATATAAAAACCAGCAATCCAACTTTAAATATGCCAACCAAAATTTTCTATTAATCGATCCTATAAATTGTTGAAAGTTTTTCCATAGTCAAGCCATCATATGATGTGGGCTGTTGAACCACCAAAGCAATACAGGTTTAGTGGTTTGAGGCTACACAACGGAAACTTTTGGTTACTCTGTTAATTACTTTCGCGCTTTCACTAACCTATATTAAATTTAAAAGTTTTAAAATTTTACCATATCTAATGTTTAGTTCTTATAGTTCTATATTAAGCTTTAACCGATTCAGTTTTGTACTGATCATCAAAGTACGTTCGGTCATACACAGAATAGACTTCCCATTTAATATACAAATGTGTAGCCAAGAAAATAGATTATGTTCAGGATCATCTCACCAGAGAGTACTCATCCTCAAAAACTTTTAATATACCAGACTTTTAGTGTCATTATTATGTTTATGGTGTATTGGGTTAAATATTAATTAAAAACAACGCAGTATCATAGCAAACAGGTGATTGATTTATCACTTGACATAGAATATTGTTATGAGACCATCTCAACAGATTTCACCACGATTTTTTGTTTTAAATATTTACATTAGGCCTACATGGTAAGTCTAGTATTATAATATTATATTATATAATAGTTCGGCTGAATCTTTAATATTTTGAAGTTGAAGAAGAATAGTAATTTTCACGTTTTAAAACACAAAATAAGACCAGAAAGAATAATAACAGCTTGGTGATATATAGCAACTTGATCTAGAACTAAAACCTGACAGTTGTAGTAATATAGTTACAAATTCAATCTGTAATGATTAATAATAATAGTTTTTTTTATTACACGAATTATTTTGTAACACTGAAATGTAATTTTGCGCGCGATAATTTACTATGTCGCTGCAAAAACGTATATTTCGTTTACACAACTTTTACTTAATATTGATGCAAATTAAGCAAAACCATGCAAATAATTTGTAATGAAAGTTTGTAACGTGATAACTATTGGTTTCATATCGTGAATAGCTTTGATTTCCCACTAAACCTACAATGACACATATTAGATAATGGTGAATAGTTTAAAAGGGGGGTTGCTAACCTAGGATTCCAGTTATGGACTTTGGTTCAGGAGGAACGGGGTCGATTTTTAACCACTTTCTCTTAAATACTATTTTGATTCATCGACACAAATAACGTTGTCAGAAAAAAAACCTAAAAATTCAAATAAGGTGTACATCGCTAATATATTAGAGGTCTGAGTATCCTATACGAAATGTAAATAAATATTAACTTTAATGATTGGACATAACATATTATAACAATTTATTTCATTGAAACCTAACATTAAATGAGTCAATCATGTTGTTGTTGCCTAGATACAGGACTTAAGTAACTATCATAATAAATAATCTGCAAGATTTCTACTCTAAAAGCATATAATTACATAAAACTATATATTTATTCCCAAATTTATTTGTTGCACTAGACCACTAATGTGCTGTTGTTGTATATTTTGTATGGATATATTAATATCCTGGTTCATTCCTTGGATTAGAAATTCTCAAGATCAGGATTGTAATGCTAAAGAACAAGATATAATGACAAACAAATCTAAAAATGTTAATGCATAAATTAAATTAATGTATGAGATAGGAATAAAAATCTACCTTAAAACTGATATTTACTTATTTTAATAGTAGGTTAAAATATAATAACTATACTAATTTGTAATGCAACCATTTCCGTTTCGTTAAACTTGAAATTAATTTTGTAAATACATCAATGAATACCTTGATGAAACAACTTAGTATTATGATGCAAAATTGTTTTTAAAATTACATTTGCTTTATTCACCTCTACTCTGGATCAATTGCTTGATATTTATCAATTTCATTCCAACAGATATTTAATTTAATCGTGTTAAGAGTAAGCAATATATATTTCTTGAATTGGTGTTCACATTCCTTTCACATGATTCAAAGAATTGTATTCTCTTCTTTTTACGTCTTTCGCCTTTTGATGAGCATAGTTGAAGCTACTTGACCTAAAAATAGTGACTTTACTATAAATAAACTTATTTTAACATTTAGAATGTGGATGCAGATTTTATTTTTTTAATTTCTCAAAGGAATCACCCCTCTCCCCCCCACATTTACTACATCTAAACTACACCGAATTTGATCAAATATTTTCCCAAATTCAGGATTAAATTTAGTAATTTAACGAGAATCGATGTGATAACGACTAATTCTATATTAGGTAACTGTCTCATAAAACATTTACATTCATACACACACATTTACACATTTACATACATTTACATTGAAAATTACACAGCCTTTATAATAGTAAAACATTGATAACAAGACTCTTAGGGAATATTAAATAAGAATTGTTATCAAAGACGACTTCTTATCGAGGTTTGCCATGTTATTAGGGGTATTAAGTTATAGGGAATTTGGAAATGACACTTGTTATCGAGGGTCTTGTCATCAAGTGTCCACTGTAATTGATTACCTTAAGGTTGTTTTTTTTGTTTCAGTCCCTGGACGACTGGTCATTCGACGTATTCTCCCTAGGCAAGGCGGCGCAGAACCAGCCTGTCAGATATCTCGGATACGACCTTCTTAACAGATACGGCTGCCTGTCTAAGTTTAAGGTAGGTTTAATTTTACATTATGAATATCCAAATAATAATTGTATTAATTGTTAGTAAATTCATTTATTGATGTATACTATTAACTAGCAGAGTACCCGTTCTTCGTACGGGTTTGTCATATACGTATGAAATAGTTGTTGCAGGTATGCTCTAGCATTGCGTTTGCAATGTGGGAGGATAAGACTTGAGATAATTTGGTTCTTTATTTACGGTATGCTATAGTATTACAGATTTAGTATAGTATATTATACTGTATAGTATTACACATCTACCATAGACATTCTGTTCTACCACTTCACCTAAACAATATAAAAAAAGAAAATTATCAAACATTCAAACAATATCACAAATTATTTATTAAATTAAAAACATAAACATTACTATAAACAATCCTACTTTGACAGTTCTCATTAAGTATCACAGCTTTTTGATGCTGCTTACTTCAAATTAGCTTTCCAAATTTGAAGTATTAGATATACCTTGCTATTTGGGGAGATATATTTAATTCTTGAAGTATTATCATAATAATTGCTAAAAATATAATAGTGCTCCTGTTGGTAAACCTTATAACTTTTAATGCTATTGAATATCATAGGACCAACGTGTTTGGTCGAATCAGCTGACAAACTTATTTAATTCCTTTTAAATGTGAATACACATAAGATTAACATGGGAAACGCCAGAGCCACTGGGGCGGAGCCTGAAAGGAGTTTTGAGATAACAATATGCTTATATATGTCAATCGGGAATGTGAGCTATCATCACCCCAAATTTCAGCTCAATCTGACCAGTATTTTTCGCTTTTACTTGTCACAAACAAACATAGAAACATCCAAACCTTCTCATTTATAATATTAGTAGGATTAGGAATGAATCTTTGTTTTCTACTGACATAAGATAGCAAATTAATAGTCTATTTTGTATTAAGTACCTGGGGACCGAGCTTTGCTCGGGGAAAATCATTCCTCCACTCTGCGATGCCAGCCTTAACTACTTTCTTCACCATTTCCTACGTCATGGACCTGTTTCCTTCCCTTCTCATAGCATTTAAGTATTACAGATACATTAATCTAACTGCCACAAACGGTTCCCACACTCTGCGATGCTAAACTTTACTACTTCCTACGTCGTGGACCTGTTGTCATCTCTTCCCATTGCATGTTAGGATTGCAGATACATTAATGTAATTGCCACAGACAGTTCCCACACTCTGAAATGCTAGCCTTACTTCTTCCTTCCCCACTTCCCACGAAGCGGAGCTGTTTTCCCCCCTTCCCGTTGCATTTAAAGATTGCAGATAACTTAATCTAATCGTCATAAACAGTTCCCCACTCCGGATAGCTCGGATTGACTACTTCCTTCAACACTTCCTACGTCACAGACCTGTTTCCCTCCCTTCTCATAGCATTTTAGGATTCGAAATACCTAAATCTAATCGTCATAAACAGTTCCCACACTCCGGACTACTCGCCTTGACTACTTCCTTCACCACTTCCTACGTCACGGACCTGTTTCCCTCCCTTCCCATATCATTTTAGGATTGCCAATACCTTTATCTAGTCGTCACAAACGGTTCCCACACTCCGGACTACTCGCCTTGACTACTTCCTTCACCACTTTCTACGTCGCGGACCTGTTTCCCTCCCTTCCCATAGAATTTTAGGATTGCAGATACCCTAATGTTATCGTAAAAAAAAACAGTCCCCACACTCCGGACAGCTTGCCTTTACTAATTTTATCATCACTTCCTACGTCACGGACCTGTTTCCCTCCCTTCCCATAGCATTTTGTGATTGCAAATACCTTAATCAAATCATCATAAACAGTTCCCACACTCCAGACAGCTCGTTTTGACTACTTCCTTCACCACCCTACGTCGAGGACCTGTTTCCCTCCCTTCCCATAGCATTTTAGGTTTGCAGATACCCTAATCTTATCGTCATAAACAGTTCCCACACTCTGGACTACTCGCCTTGACTACTTCCTTCACCACTTCCTACGTCGCGGACCTTTTTCCCTCCCTTCCCATAGAATTTTAGGATTGCAGATACCCTAATGTTATCGTAAAAAAAACAGTCCCCACACTCCGGACAGCTTGCCTTTACTACTTCTATCATCACTTCCTACGTCACGGACCTGTTTCCCTCCCTTCCCATAGCATTTTATGATTGCAAATACCTTAATCTAATCATCGTAAACAGTTCCCACACTCCAGACAGCTCGACTTGACTACTTCCTTCACCACCCTACGTCGAGGACCTGTTTCCCTCCCTTCCCATAGCATTTTAGGTTTGCAGATACCCTAATCTTATCGTCATAAACAGTTCCCACACTCTGGACTGCTCACCTTTACTACTTCCTTCATCACTTCCTACGTCACGGACCTGTTTCCCTCCCTTCCCATAGCATTTTAGGATTGCAGATACCCTAATGTTATCGTAAAAAAACAGTCCCCACACTCCGGACAGCTTGCCTTTACTACTTCTATCATCACTTCCTACGTCACGGACCTGTTTCCCTCCCTTCCCATAGCATTTTATGATTGCAAATACCTTAATCTAATCATCATAAACAGTTCCCACACTCCAGACAGCTCGACTTGACTACTTCCTTCACCACCCTACGTCGAGGACCTGTTTCCCTCCCTTCCCATAGCATTTTAGGTTTGCAGATACCCTAATCTTATCGTCATAAACAGTTCCCACACTCTGGACTGCTCACCTTTACTACTTCCTTCATCACTTCCTACGTCACGGACCTGTTTCCCTCCCTTCCCATAGCATTTTATGATTGCAAGTACCTTAATCTAATTGTCATAAACAGATCCAACACTCCGGACAACTTTCCTTTACTACTTCCTTCACCACTTCTAAGTCGCAGACCTGTTTCCTTCCCTTCCTATAGCATTTTAGGATTGCAGATAACCTTAATCTAATCGTCATAAACAGATCCCGCACTTCGTACTGCTTGCCTTTACTAGGCCTACAATGTATCGAGCAATCTTCAGTATAATCTTTGCTCAATAGTAACAAGTGATGATTTCCCTTTTGTACTGTATTTGTAATTTGCTAGTATACTGTGGGTAGTTGGCTTATAATGAACACATTCTTCAACTTCAAGTCTTTTGTTCACTTTTTCCTTGTTATTTAATTCAACCAACATGGTTACTTAGCAACCCATAAGACTAATGTTTAAAAAAATGTGACTTTCAGTTTTGTTTTTTTTACGTAATTAGATTTTTGTTGGCGGTTCTAACTGCATGAAACTCGTTTTTAGGCCAAAAATAAACTATTTACAAGATTTGAAGAAAATCGTCAGAGCCGTTTTCGAGATCTTTCTGCAAGCAAGCAAGCAAGCATACATAGAAGCAAACATTGCTCGTATTAGAGTATAGGATATGATTAGCTTTAGCGAGTAGTTTAAGCAAATTGTTTATTTCCGTCCGCGACATGTTGAGATTGTTTTTAAGTTTTCTATATGTTTATTATTACTTCATTAAATGTATGGTTGTTTAGCACAGGTAAAATTATTTATTTATTTTTCATTAACAATATTAATAATATATAATTAAACCTATACAGACAAATAGGTTACTTATTCTTTAAGAAAATGAATACAAAATCAATGTAAAGTTGTATTCTCTCTGAGTACAAGCGTCAACTAGTTTTAAAAACTTGGTGATCAAAATCGCTATGATTGAATTTGATTTTTTTATAATATTTAAACTTAATTTTAAATCTGTCAGTCCTCAAATTTTGTAGCCATTGATTGAAATACCGCACTGTAAAATTTACTTTAAATGTAAATGAATACATAAATAAAGCTTTAGATCTTACTAAATTATCTACTGGCACTATCTGAGGTCAATTTAATCGTTTACTTTTGATGTTTCACCGTCGTATGTAAATATTTATTATTTCCATCTTAAACTTAGGGAGAAATTATCACACTTTATGCTACTCATTAGAGGAAGAAGTATTAAGGAATAGTTTTATAATCATTTTTACTTATGACGTTTCTATTTAATTTTATTAATTTTTTATGTAGCTTTCAATCAAAAAGGTCTAATTTATTTTAAAGTTCTTTATTCATTAGTAATTCAAACATACATACTATAACATAATATACACATATCCCTTAAAACAACCCCCTAGAAATAAGATTATTTTGTCTAAAAATTTTTTATTCTATGGATAAAAATGGTTATTTGACACTCGCAAGGCCTAAATATTATAAAAATTCCTCGTTATAATTATTGCGAGTTTTGGATTAAATTTTAGAGTTTACTTAAATTATTAAGCCTCAAAAAGTGTTCTGCTATCGATAGCTTATTTTTATAGTATTTATTTAAAAATATATTTTATGGTACCACAATTTTTCAGCGACTCTTTCAGATACGGGCAAGTTAAATAATCTAGAGATAGTCGATACAAATTGGGAAGCGAGCTGGTCTAGTGGTAGAGCGCGGGACATTGGTCTCTCAGGTCCTGGATACACAGCCCACCATCACAAATGAATTTTTTAGACCTTAGTGATATTACCGCAACCTCTAGGCCTAGCCTTAAGTATTGGGGAAAACAATACCGGGTTATTAGCCTAGGACATTTGCGCATTCAGGACAAAAAAGGGAAAAGTCCATATAGATATAATTGTGAAGTATTGCAACATCCAAAATGCAATTTTGGACTCTGATTGCTCGTTAGTTAATTAGTGGTTTCTTTAATCCATTTTAACAATAGGCTAATTATTTTTTCCTTGACCTATACATACATCCATTACCTTACATAACCAGGCATTTTTCTAACAAGTGTCCTACTCCAAATGTGTGTTTATATATTTATTTACCTATGATCAAGGCATTCTTGCACTAATGTTTTTATTTTGTCCCAAACAGATAAGTCTTCAGACAATAGAAAACTTCCTCAACAGGGTCGAACAAGGGTATTTGAGGTATGGGAACCCTTACCACAACAATCTGCATGCCGCCGACGTGGCCCAGTCCGTCCACTATATGCTCTGTCAAACAGGCCTCATGGTAAATATTGCACTTTTTACTCCCCCCCCCCTACATAGTACTAGGGTGGTCTGCCGTTACACTTTAGACGCATAAATGAGCGAAGCATTATTTAAAGATTGTCAATGGCTAAAGCAGCTAACACCCTACAATATGTTCCCATTCAACAGATTCACCGTTTGTTTGCCCGATATTATTTAAGTTCTAAAGAATGACAAATTTATCTGATAGTTCACTGTACCTTTGTAGTGAAACTGGCCATCCTGACTATTTGCTTGTACTGTACTTTGTAAATGGGCATAGCAGGATGTACTCGTGCAATCAACATTTGTTCTACGATCGTCAGGTCTTAATTCGTTCGAGACACTTGACTCATCCATATTATTTAACGCCGTGAATTTAGTTGCATTTGAACGACAACGCGAACAAATCGGTGTTTGGTTTGAAGCTGTTAGTTGTTGGCGATGACACTTAGTGCAAGTATAAAATTGTAGTGCATCTAATTCATGTTGGAATTGGTTAGCTAACTGCCTATCATTATCAGCTTCTTCCGCCACTGCTTCATCTGGTTCTTCTTGTTCACGACGCCACTATCTTACAATATTTGCATTATTGGTGCGACGACCAATATTACGACGTGGTCTTTGAGCCATGCTCAAAACAAATATAGCAAAACTGTTACTTCCATTGATAAACTAACTTTAACCTAGGATGAAAGTAACATTGAAATGTAAACAAAACAGTTACAAACAATTAATATATGTTTATCTTAATTAAATAAGACAAGATAAACCCATATGTCATAAGCCCAATATAATGTTTCTTTCAACTTACATTAAAATAACAAGCGAAATTGCGTGACCCGTAAAATAAAATCCAGAAGGAAATTTGCAAATATTTTTTACCAAAACATTCTGCTCAGTATTTTGTAGCTTTTGGCCAAATTTCATATCAATTGGTCAAGCCATTACATTCTGATGCTCTTACAAAGAAGTTACAAAGTGAGGGAAAGGAGAATAAGATAAGAGAATACAATAAGGAGAAAGTACTGTTTTCGTCAAGATTTTTGAGTTGAAGTTTCGGTGAACATACTCCTGAACCCCAAAACAATGTTTTAAAGTGATGTTTGTGAGTATGTGCATGTGAATAGAGCTACAGACTAAATATGTGATTCGATTTTGACAAATAATTTTGGTATTTAAGTACTAGTCCATTTTTTTATATTTAGATTTTTACAGTGATCCCCCTATAAATCCCCATAAAAACTGATTAAAAAAAATTGCTAGAACGATTTCAATTAAAATTTACTATGTAGGCTGATTCCCATTTTTAATGTTTAACAAAATTGCACAACCTGTTGAAAGAATTTACGATGTAAAAGCTATTACAACTTTTGTGATTTCCCCCAAAAAAGGCATAGTTCACCACCTACCCATGATAAGGGTTGTTGAAAAGTTAAAGATAAGTTGAATAAAACAAGTTGGGAACATTTTATTTTCTTATAGTCACTTATAGTTTGTCCGAACCGATTGTTTTTGTTTTGGTTTAGTAAATTCTTATTTACTGTATTATTTTGTAAATCAAGACAGTAATAGGTTAAATTATTTTTTTTAATAATTCAAGTTGGAAATAATCATGAAATAAGTGTATATAGTTGCCATCAATAAATTTAAGTGGTAAAATTACAAATTTATACAAAAATCGGAAATGAACATGCTAAAAAAAACTCACGCTTCTACTGCAAGGAATGTAAAACATTCTCAGCCGAGTGGATAATATTGACATTATTATTTAATATATTTTGACTCTCTCGTTTCGACATTTATCAATTAATCAATTATTTGAAATGGAGACGCCACCTAGCGTATTTTAACCCAATTTTGAGTGTAGAATGTAAGATCATCTTCGTAGCTTTACTGACTGATCCCTACTTGCAGAACTGGATGACGGACCTAGAAATCTTTGCCACACTGATCGCTGCACTAATACACGACTACGAACACACGGGGACGACTAACAATTTCCACGTCATGAGTGGAACGGACACGGCGCTCTTGTACAACGACAAGGCAGTTCTAGAGAACCACCACCTCAGTGCCTCATTCAGGTAAAAATCATGTTTATTTACAAAAACTCTCACATATTTCAATGCGAAAATAATCTCAAATAGGTTATAAGAACCGGCGTGTGATAATAATTTAAACAAAAACTTGGGTTACCTCAGGTGGTGCCTACCGACCTCTTTCTTATTTCCTCATACACCTGGTTTGTCGACCATATTTCCACTAGGCCTCTATCTTCCTTCCGTAACTTCTTGTGAAATTATAACTCTTTTCATAAAACAGTAGTAGGCCTGTTAGTCCTACCTTTAAACCTTTAAACCTTAGTTACTCTGTAAAACAGTTAAATTGTACTGAGAAACGCTCGGAAATAAAGGCGTTTTTATCAACAGGTTGCCCTCCTATGGAGGTGTTCCGCTTCTTCTGTTCCACATTTTAATTCCAACGTATTAAAGCAATTACCTCTAAAATTAGCTTTAGAGTTTTATATTCAAAATACTATTTGCATATGGGGGAACCAATAATACGTTAACTGGGACTTTGAATTACTTATATTTATATATTTTGAATGTTTTAATTTTGCTGTTCTGTTTGGGTCGTGCAGCATCACTTCTGAACTTGTTTTCATGTCGTAGGGTTCTTAAAGAAGAAGATTGCAATATTTTGAGTAATATGTCGAGAGAAGAATACAGGGAATTCCGATCTTTAGTGATAGAAACAGTACTGGCAACGGATATGAGCTGTCATTTTCACCAACTCAAGAACATGAAGAATTTACTTTCTCTTCAAGAACCAAGGTAAATAAATTAATATTTTGGTCACAATTGTATATAATTTAATACAAATTTTTAAGAATCAACCAATATAAATGCACCTTTTCCAAACTGTTTTGAATTGTGCCTCAATAAATGCCTTCTAGCGTTGAAATATTTCAGTGAGTTTAAAAACAATCTGTCCTAGGAAACAGAACTTATAACTTAAGTAATATTTTCACAATCTATTAAACTAATATAAGAGTAAAACTATGACTATAATTTCCAAAGAAAAGGTTAAAAAATCATGTTTAACATTAATTTAGAATACAAGTTTCCTCCTGCTAAATCTAACACGCAAAGTCCATAGAAAAAATATTTACAATTGTTCTGTTTATTACATTATTATAAACTAAAAGAAATTGCATAGAATAACCCAATTGCATTAATAATAACAAGAAGAATAAATCAATTACATAGGACATTGAAAATTCAGACAACTACCAATAAAATAACTGTTCCCTTATAACATTTTTCATTGTTTAACTATGTCTCAGATTTTTTTTTTTTACTACAAAATGGTAATTTTGTTTACTTTATGAAATTATTTTTAAATGTCCTATTCAGGTGGATATTCTGTAAAACTATTTTCATTATAATAAGTTTATTTATTGTATAGTGACATAATTTATTAGTGATACTACGAGTATGTGAAATTTTACAATCACGTAATATTATTACTGTTTTAGTATCAGCATTATAGGACTTTTTTCATAATTCTAGGTACGCACCTCATTACAACGTACGGGTCAGGCTACTAGTTGCATCCTTACTCTTTTTAATTTTAAATTACCTATTAATATTTTTTTTAATGGCAGCATTGACAAGGCAAAGGCGTTATCTCTAGTTCTCCATTGTTGTGATATCTCACATCCTGCCAAGAAGTGGGATCTGCACTTCCAGTGGACGTCGCTCCTACTGGAGGAGTTCTTCCTGCAAGGAGACCGGGAGAAGGAGTTAGGACTTCCATTCAGCCCTCTCTGTGACAGGAAAAACACCTTGGTCGCGGAGTCTCAAATAGGTTTGTAGGAAACAAAACTTTCATCGTAAATTAATGTAATTCTGGGCAATTACTTGGTCAACCCCAAACTTTGTCAACTTGGTCAGCCCCAAACTTTTTCCTATTTTACTACGGTTATAAGGATGTTCTCAGAAAACAAGAAACATATACCTAACATAGCCTAACCTAACCTAGCCTAACCTAACCTAACCTAAACATAACCTAGCCATACCTAACCTTGCGGGGCTTGAATGATATGTTTCTTGTTTTCTGAGAACATCCTTATGACCGTAGTAAAATATGAAAAAGTTTGTGGTTGACCAAGTAATTGCTCAGAATTGCCTAAATTAAAATCTAGACTAATACATACTGTATTTCATCTATGGCCTAAAGTGACTCCTTTCGACCGGAGTTCAAGTTTTACTGAAGGAAAATGAGCGTGGGTTTAAAAGACACATTTTGCCCTTATGATAAACTAAATTTTTCGTCATATTACATCATTATTTGAACAAACTATGTTACAAAACTATCAAAAATCAGCATCGCTTAGGATCGGACCAACAACCTTCAGGTTTGAAGGCGAGCAATATAACCACTCAGTTAAAAGTAAGAAGTTGTGGCTAAGACACAAAACACTTAACAGGATAAACTTCATGTTATTAAATGAACCTATGCTACCTATTACTGCTGCGTCCATTCTTCTACATGCAAGTCTTCAGTGGGGATTAAGCTGGTCTAGTGGTAGAGATCGGCGCTTCGGAGCCCGAGGTCCTGGGTTCAAATCCCGCCAATCAATTGATTGTATCTATGTGATAATGCCACGACCCTCTAGGACTAGCCTGAAATAATGTGTAAAACAGTTCCGGGCTAGAACGTAGAGTCCTAGTGATGTGAAGGTGGGAAATATAAAAATATTCATAGAGCCAAAACTGAATTTGCCACTTTTGTTGCAGGTTTCATAGAGTTCATCGTGGACCCTAGCATGTCAGTCTGTAGTGACATGTTAGAAGCCATCCTCGCCCCCGTGGTCGCCCCTGCGGCCGCCAAGGAAGTCAAGAGATCAGTGTCAGTCTCGGAAGACACGAGAAAACATCATGGTAAGTACTCTCATTGACTTTGAATAATGCTAAATAGACTCATCATTCCAGTGTAAGTATCAAGTCCAATATATGTTTCTAATTTACACTTAAAAGCAAAATATAAACTTAAATAGCATTTTCACTTAGAAAGAAACGAGTACTGGTCACGTCTGAATTCAAATTGGGTAATTAGATCTCACGTTACTACCCAATCTTATCTCAAACAAGCTATATATATTAAGCATAGAGTTTAACAAGTATATTTGTCAATTGTTACAAATTATAAGAAGAAAAAAAATAAAAAATAAAATATTATTTTTAGAAAATTTTGAAAATTTATGTTACAAATTATAAGAAGTTAATAACAGGTTATAATAAGTTGTAAGGAGTACCTTTTGTCACAGTTTTCCTAAAATATTAATATTTTTATATATACAGTTTTAGTTTATTTTCCAGAACAAATCAATTGTGATGATGCGCCGCCTCCATTCACAATAAAAAAGCCTTGGTTAACCTGTCTCGCGGAAAACAAGAAGATTTGGAAAGAAAGAGCAGTTATAGGTATGTATCTGATCTGTTAGTTTTACTCGTAAATATTTATCTACGGGTGTCTCGTAGGTAAGTGCAATAAAGTTCAGAAATATGTTTAATGGATAACGATAAAAAAATTAAAAAGTAAATTTTTCTGAAACTTCTGGTTGAAACAATATCCGTCTCTTTTGTTTTTTTGCTGTACTTCTAATTGATATCTTTAAAAGTATTTAAGATTTCCTTATAAAATTGTGTACATGGTTTTAGGAAATGCTTATCTTTTTTTAAATAACCATTGAAATTATATGTACTTGGATTTCAAAATATCGTTTTTAGTTTGTACAACTTAAATCTCTATAGATTGGTTGGGTTTGTGAAAAAAATTCAAGTACGCGATTATTTACCATTTACTGTAAGATCATCTAACAAACAATGCCAAGTTACAAATTTGAAAATAGTAAATAGCCTATAGATCAAGATTTTTTATTGCAGGCCTACTGGCTAGACAAAAAAGGCCAAGCAGGTACAGCGTGTCTAATTTTGCCCCTAAAATGTGATTTCTCAACTATTAATAATTCGATATTTTTTACTTCGGTTTTCGGTATATAAATTTAAATGATTATTTAAAGTTCCATAAAACAGTTTTCATAAAATCAGTATTATTTTATATAGATGTTATAAATAATAAAACAGTCACCGTTAAAAAAAAAAAAATTATTTATTTTATTTAAAAAATATGTAGTTTTTTGTTTATCAACTTATTGCTTCTTAAAATCGTATGCTGGTACCAAATTTCATAGGAATGGCATATAGTTTTTAAGATATAAGTTAAAAAAATTAAATTAAATTATTGTAAATATCTTGAGGCGTTTTTGGAAAAAATGTTTATCTTAATTTTAATTTTGTTTTGCCTTATTTTACCTGTTCAAAGTATATTAGTACTTCCTTACGGAACATTCTGTATATGTATAAAGTTAATACCTAAAGTGATTAAGTAAAGTTTAAAAAGCTGAATTTGCGTTCTCGTTGTAATAATACATCTGAAAGTACATATTTGTAAAAAAATGTTTTATTAAATGTTTTTTATCAACATTAACAACATAAACTTAAATTATTATTATTTTAGTAAATCTTAATAAACGGAATCTGCATACAAAAAGTTATTTCAACTTACAACGATGTCTAGTAACATTATTACTCTATAATATTATTTATACAAAATACTTAATTTATTTTAATGATTGGAATTATGTATTTAGCAATATAAAGAAATCACTCAGGAAAGAGAAGGTCTATTTCAAAAGAAGCTGAGTGGTCTAGAGAAAGAAGAGTTCCTTGACTAAGCCAATTTTGAAATCATTTGCAAATACCAGAATACGAATTCAATCTCTTTCACTACACTTTAAAGTAGTCTTATTATTTAAAGTACTCCTTTGACAATCATATTAATTACTTAAATATATTTCCTTGGAAAAGGTTTTCTATAACCTTTAAAAAAAAACATATTACCATAGACAAAAAGAATTTTGTCTATACAATATTACATAGCCCAAATTTATTCCACTTTAATAGGATTCAATTAGCCTTTAGCAATTCGGTCACCAAAATGTTCACGTTATGTAGACGAGGAGATTCACATATGATGCGAGACATGTTCCCAACAAGTGGATATGCAATTTCAGTACAAGCTATGAAACTTTGCATCACCATGGGAAAGATCTTATCTTACCCAACAGGGACAGGCCGATACCACGAGCACTTCATCCGAAACCTAAAGTCGAAAAATTTCAAACCCCAGACAGTTGTTTCATTGATAGACCCTACAGATTCGGGCATCCGACGAAAGCCTGTAGTCTTCCTATTAATTCCTCCTCGGGAAGATATCTACCTCTTATGTGAAAGATAGTTTGAGTTTATTTCTCTCAACACTACTATTTGTTTTTATGTTAATGAGTAGAAACATCAATCTATCTATTATACTCAAAACAATAAGGGGTTTACCTCCTTTTTCGCCCGCCGTAATTAACCAAGCTTTACAATTTAGTAGTGAATAATGGACCTTAGATAAATTTTTCTTTTGTTCCAAAATAGAGTTTGGGAATAGATCTTTTATTATATCAGCCTTATGACATAAAAAGGCATGAAGCTGAACTAAAAGTCCAGACTGCGAAAGCAAAAAAGGATGACAAATATCTTACATCAAAAATGACTACTTTAGTAGACTAATTCCTACTGTTTTTAGATGCGGCAGCAAGAGCAGCTGCAGAAGCGGCGGCGGCGGCAGAAGCAGAGGAAGAAGAAAGGAGAAAACAAGAAGAAGAGGGTCAGAAAAGCGAGGGGAAGGTTGAAGAATAGCATCAAAACAGCCTTCGTCCATTGGCTGCGTACCATGGTGTAGCTTTATCCTTAAGCCGCTTGACGCTTATGTATAATGTGTATATTCTACCATGCTAGACTGATATCAAGTAGGCTGATATATTCATGCACTTCTTCTTCTCACAGCCTGAACAATGTAAGATAGTGAATTTTCTATGTTCTCAATCGCATTGTACAAAGTTTTATTGTAAAAAGTCTTCATTGTTTCTCTCTCTGTAGTTTTCAGATTTGTTATTTAATACGCTATAAAAGACAAATTTCAAGATTTAAGTAGTTTAGTAAAACTATTAAACGTTGTTTTTTTTTAGTTAAGTTTGTTTTGTTGTGTACCACTGCAAAATGGTATGAAAAAGGTACTGTAATTAAATAAAATAGCTCGTCACTAATACGATACACTTGATTAGTACACTTAGATTATCCGAAAGTCCAGAAATGCAGTGTGGTTCTCGTTTCTTCAACATTTTGATAATTCATCCAACATTGTTTATAACTATGTGTATAATTTCTCCTACTTTAATTAAGTAGCCCTGCTGTATACGTTTAAAAATGTGACGAGGGCCAATAGACCAAACTTTAAGATCGTCGTATTGATATTTCATAAAATAGAGTTCACATAAAGACTTACTTCAGCAGGTGGCATGCAAAAATTGTATTTGCTAGTAAAAATTGGGTTTACGAATCAAACTTTCTTTCAAGCTTAGTTTAGTCATTTTAATACCTTGTCCTCATCGATATAAATAATAAACTGTCTTTTAAATTTAATCGTTTACTAGTTAACTTTGAAAACAACTTTCTAATCACTCTTTTATTCCTAAAAAACCTTTTCTACATAATCGTGAGTAATACTGTACAGCTTCCTTTGTACATAAACTAGAGATTCTCGTTGTAATTTTCCTACCTGCAATATTATACCGTTATCGTTTGCGTAAGGCCAGTTTTCACTTGTGCATTTAGAGTGGTAATAAGAACACCAGCTTTTCATAGTATATACAGAGCTATTTTGTAGAAAATATATCTCTTACGAAATGTACTTAGGGTCGTTCTAAATAATGTAATTTTAAGACTTAACAAGTTTAGGGGTTATTTTCAATGCTGAAAGCTCTGGTTTCTTGGTTAGTTCCGTTTAAGAGAATTGATTCTATCCGCTATAAGCAACAGGAAGTATTCGTGTTCTTTGTATATGAAACAATCAGTTTTGTATTATGAACTTTCGAAAAAAATACTAAAGATAACGATTAAGAACGAGTGATTGGTTTTTTTAAATTTGTATTTTTATATTTTGGTCGAAACCGTACGCTTATAATCTTTATGTATCCGTGTGTAAATAATACCAAGAACAAAACTGAAATGTCACAACACAATATTTTTTTTGTTTAATTGTAATTTTTGCAAGAGTTTAACTTACCATTTCTGAGGATAATGTGTGCTAGATAATGTGAAAAAAAACTTTGTCCAACACTATCAAATTATTCATGTTATAGTTCTTCCTTATATTTCATATTTAATATTTTACCCAATTCCTTGCCAATATGATAAACTGCTAAGATAAACTTTTATTCTTTGCTTTTTAGCTTGAGAATTTAAAAGAAATGCATCCTGCAATCCCTACCTTAAAGCGGACAATTTACATGTTGGTCGCATTTCACTGGTTCATTTACAGTGTGACTAAAGTATACAAATTGTGATTGTATCACAGTTGTTATTCTGAACTAACAGTGATACATGAACATGTATACTGATAACTACCACATAACTACTGTACTGGCAACCACGTACTTCATGCAATACATTAAGGGTGTTGATCAAGAATGTATTTCCCCAGAAATCAGTCAATAACCAAAATCCGATTTGATAATTTTTAACGAAATAATCATGTGTTGAATTTGTTCTATTCATAATTCATAGACTACTATGTTATGTCTATAGATCCAAATGTTGTATACGGATTAAAATAATTTGGACTTTTTCAATCCATAATGCTTTCCAGTTTAAGTGAACCTGAATAGCTTAAAATGAATAAAATAATTTTTTGAGAATTAATTTAAATAAAACATTATATATGGAATTATATGTGGAATAAAATCCACAAATTCCATTGAAATTTAAAATAGAACCGCCATCATACTTTTACGACATACATTTCAGTTTTGCATCATCATGGATGTTTGAAAATAGATGTTTTAATGTTCTGTGTTCGTGCAGTTTATTTTTTATCGGTGTAGCAGTCACATTGATTTTGTTCATTGTTATGCATGAGATTTACACGCTCATGGTTTGGAAAGAGCGGGTTCCACTGATAAATTACTATCGTTGTTACAATAAAACTATATATAAATAAAATCTTTCGTGTGATCCAGGATTGTGTAATATATAGGGCCTATTAATATGTACAGCTTACCATCTGTGCGTAAAACGCTTGATCGTATAGGTTAATACCTTGTTGAAATTTATAAAGTGATATGTTATCTACTGTGCATATTTTAATAATTAATTCTAAGCGTACATGTTCGTTAACTGTGAAAAGTTTAATAATTTTATGGGTTTGTAGATAATGTTATAAAGTTTAATATTGTTAACTTCTTAAATTAATTTAGTGTTAATGATGTTCCTATAATTTTGTTGAGGTTTTAGGTATGTGTCGAATAACCAAGCTTTGGAACTTTGCGTTTAATTTACGCTTTTCAGATTTATATATTATAGTTATCTCTTAAGGTATACAAGCTTACGGTCCAAATTGAAAACAAGTAAAAATTATTAAGAAGAAGGAAAAAATATAAAAATAATAACATTCTTCATTTGTATGTTTGACGACACTGAGACTCTTTTACATTCTTAACTATATCCATAAAACTAAATAGCTTTATTAAACCTGTTATGTTAAGTTATATCAGCTCACTCTTAGTAGTGAAAAACAAACGTTTGAATAAGAATATTGTAATATCCACAGCTTTGAAAGAGTTTTCTCTAGGACTCTTGTCTTCAAAAAAAAGTATTAAAAGTATTTCAAATTAATCATAACATAAGGTAAATCCCTGTGTTTCAGTAATTGTTCTCTACATTATGACTCTATGAGCTTTGATAAAATTCTCAGTTTCGACAAACTTAACTATAGAGTCAAACCTCATTCTTCAATACTGGAAGGTGGAACGCCTGAAGTGAAAATCCTAGTTTCGTATTCATTTGTAAATAGATTTTCAACCACAGTTTTTGGACACAGGGTGAACACATTAAAGTGAATATAAGAGGAGTGACCGTCAATATTTCATTTTCTAATAGAATAGATATTGAATCTTGTTAGGATCTGATTGGTCTACGATGTAAAGGTGATTGTTTTATAGTTGAAAGCTACTACAATTTCTGATAAGTTTACCGAATTTTCAAAACCCACCCGAGAATAGTTTTACCACTCCGGGGTAATTTGCCAAGTTCATTCCCACCAATTAAATTTAAGAGTTTGTCTACCACATTTTGACTTCGAGATTATTAATTTCTTTTGCAATTCATACCAAGGGCTACAAAATTGAATACATCCTAGAAAACAGAACTTAAATAAAGATAATAAGATAATAAGAGCAAAAATATTAGTTTAAAAGTGTTATAACCGTTTTAACTAAACACCATCGAGATTTAGGAATCCCCTTTGTACAGTTAGTCTCAGTTTTTAGTCAGAAGATATGGTTTTCTTGACTCAATATCAATTATCGTACTTAAACTTAACCGGACTTAAGATATAGATCAAAATCTACATCAAATCACACAATACAGGGTGAAAACTCTCAACGTGTCCGAATAAACGCATTTCTTACCAAAAAGCTGTACAAAACCGGTCCATACAAACTGGTTTTCTACTCTACCATCAGAATTTAATAGTAACAATTACTGATAACCTAATAAGAAAGTAACCTACAGTACGGTTCACGATAGTCGCATTTGAGGAGCCTATTTACCACGTGACTTTGAAGGAGCCAATGAGGACCGTGCGCTGTTGCCAAATCTAATAATACCAGCTTATTTGAAAATATTGTTTAGTATATTTTTATTAGATTCGAAAATTATTGAACGGGCGATGATGCAACGACGCGCTAGTCCAGTCTGCTATTGGAGGTTGCCTCCAACTACAGACTCTTGTGGTCCCTAGTGTAAATATCATATTACAAAGTACTACAAGTGGATTACCTACAATAAAGGTATTTATACCGCTTATATTGTATCTTGGCAATCCGAAGGCTAAAAAATGAAATTCCAAAGTTTACTTCAGATTGTATTAGCTTTCAACTCAAACACTAAGGCGTAGGCTTAGATTGCGTCAGGGACCAGTAAGTTCACTATTTGCAGTAAGGAGCATATCACGATTGATTCGTTGCTAAAGGTATTTCAGAATTAGAAATAGAATAGTCATCCTTAATTACATAAGTTAGACATTTTCCACCGTAACCACTGTCTGTTTCACGTGTGGAATTGTAAATAACTAGGCCTATTGCTTTGGAACTCTAAACTCTCGTTCCGATTTCTTTGTATTGGCCTTAAGCTGAACAATGATATTAGGTTAAGGAATTGTGTATAGTTTCAGAAATTTACATTTCTATTGCTACTCATTTACATATCGTTTAAAAGACGAGTCTGTACTTATTTGGTTGTTTTCACTGAATTTTGCACTTGTAAATTATATTTATGACAAGTCTGTATACATAAAGTAACAAATAATGTGTTTGTGTTTTACCTTTTCCCTATTTCTACTCTTAGTTATCAAACGAAAAAGCTCTGTGATACTTACAAACCTACAAACAGATTCTTCAAACTAAAGATTTTTTAATATCCATTTCATAAAGTAATATCACTTCTGAGTATATTCTTAAATATAGTTTTATCCTGAACTCGCCTTCAATATGTTTATACAAATTTTTTTTGTTTCTATATGATTTCCCCAAAAATAATGTCTGGGTTGTGTAACCTGTTAATACTTCTGGTCTGATCAAGTAAATAACTTGAATAGGAGGAACTAATATTTTATGTAAAATATTGGATGTCAAAAACGTAAAAGCTACTTGGCCAATTGAGCAGATTTTTTTTATGAATGGAGCAATTCATAAGTTCACGATTTGGGTGGGTTGGGTGATCACGGATGTAGTTAAATTAATAATATGGGTTGAAGTGAATTTTAAACTTTTTAATCGTGATTTGAATGTATGCAAAGTTTGGAAATTAAAGATATAAAGTAGAAACAATGTCTTTTACTGAAGATTTTAGAAAAACCACTTTTATGTGTACATTTTCCACTTAGTGCAAACATTGTGATACTGAGACCTGCAACTATTTAGGACCTTTGAAGGTTATAAGTCTGGTTTCCTGTCCATGGGTTTGGTAATGGCCTCACATCAACACAAGTTTGTGGCCCCTGTTTTCCTGTCCATGGGTTTGGTATTGGCCTCACATTAACACAAGTTTGTGGCCCCTGGTTTCCTGTCCATGGGTTTGGTAATTGCCTTACATCAACACAAGTGTGTGGCCTCTGGTTTCCTGTCCATGGGTTTGGTAATGGCCTCACATCAACACAAGTGTGTGGCCTCTGGTTTCCTGTCCATGGGTTTGGTAATGGCCTCACATCAACACAAGTTTGTGGCCCCTGGTTTCCTGTCCATGGGTTTGGTAATGGCCTCACATCAACACAAGTTTGTGGCCCCTGGTTTCCTGTCCATGGGTTTGGTATTGGCCTCACATCACCACAAGTTTGTGGCCCCTGGTTTCCTGTCCATGGGTTTGATATTGGCCTCACATCAACACAAGTTTGTGGCCCCTGGTTTCCTGTCCATGGGTTTGATATTGGCCTCACATCAACACAAGTTTGTGGCCCCTGGTTTCCTGTCCATGGGTTTGGTAATGGCCTCACATCAACACAAGTTTGTGGCCCCTGGTTTCCTGTCCATGGGTTTGGTATTGGCCTCACATCACCACAAGTTTGTGGCCCCTGGTTTCCTGTCCATGGGTTTGATATTGGCCTCACATCAACACAAGTTTGTGGCCCCTGGTTTCCTCTCCATTGGTTTGTTTTTGGCCTCACATCTACACCAGTTTGTGGCTTCTTGTTTTCTGTCCCCTGTAAGCCATACAAGAAAATTATAGTTTGACTTCCAATATGACAATAGTATAACAAGCTTAATAAGGCACAGTACTACGTCTTTCTCTATCTTTAAGTTCCTTTTAGGCTAATAAAACAATACTATTGACTATCAAAATTTCACAGAAAATAGTATGTTTCACTACTAATACACTATCTCGCCCCGAAATGGGACTTTCGTGCCGAGTATGGAACGAAACTTTTTATCACGATGAAAAAGCCTACTTACTTACTTGCATACTTGTATGTATCCCACTGGAAGCTTTTTCAGCCATGGTCGTCATGTTAGTTGTTGGCCTTCACTCTTCAAGGAATTCTTCTACTGAATAATAGGCTTTATTTAATAAGAATATCTTCAGCATTTTCTTGAGTTTAACTTGATCTTCACAACTTCTGATTTCTTGTGGTAATTTATTAACAATTTTGCATCCTGAATATTGAGGACTAGTCTGTGCTAGTGTAGTTCTGCGGTGATTGATATGAATACTATTTTTTTGTCTTGTGGTGTACCTATGTACTTCGTTATTTCTTGTGAAAAAATCGGGAAATTTAAGAACATTTAAGGCTGATTCCAATATATATGCTGATGACAGGGTAAGTATTTGAAGTTCCTTGAATAAAGTTTCGCAGTGCTCAATGAAGTGGGTTTTACAGATAATTCTTAACACACGTTTTTGTAGTAGGAAGGTTCTATTTGCCTCACTAAAGTTTTCCCAGAATGCAATTCCATAGTACACTGTGGAAGCAGCCATAGTAAACTTTCAATAGGACATCTCTTTCAACTATATTTACCAGTCTTCTTATCAGGCAACACTAGTCGACTGGCAATTTTGTTGATACTGTATGGTCAAACCACCTTAAGTTGTTGCTAATATGGATTCCGAGGTATTTTACGCTATTGCTTGGTAGTATATTCTGATCAGTGAATTTAAGTAATGGACTGAAGTCTGGGATCTTTGTATTGTAGAATTGGAGTAGGTTAGTCTTTCCCTGATTTAATACTAACATATTTTCAGAGCACCAATTACTCATTTCATTTATGCCAGATTGTGTTCTTTCAATGGCATTATTAACATTTACATCAGTGATTAAGTGACAAACATCATCAGCAAACATCCATATTCTGCCTTCATGTATAGATTCAGGTAGGTCGTTGACAAATAAGAGGAAGAGGATCGGTCCCAGATTCGAGCCTTGGGGAACTCCGGTACTAATGTTGTGTTGAATCTTAGATTTATAGTGCTTCATTACTCCATCATCACCCATGTGTTTCACCGTAACAACTTGAGATCTGTCTTTTAGGTAGGACATAATCCATTTTAGGGGCTCGTCTATTATGCCTAGTTTGATCAGCTTTCTTTCTAAGGTCTCGTGGTGTAAACAGTCAAAAGCCTTTGTCATGTCATAGAATAGGCTGCAAAAACCACTTCTGAGCAATCAATTCCGTTATATACTGCAGTAAGCAGGGCAAAAACAGCATCTGTGGTTTTTTGAAAGCCAAATTGACTATTTGATAGGATGTTGTTCTAAATATGGGATCAGCCTGCGTAGAAAGGCTACCTCAAAATTGTTTGAGAACACAGATTGTACGGCTATGGGTCGATAGTTACCCACTACATCTTTCTCGTTTTTTTTTTTTTTTTTTTTTTTTTGATGGGGACTATTTTCGATGTTTTTATCCTGTCTGGGAACTTGCCTTCATTTATTTATTATAAGCGATAGTGGTTTAGCCACACAATCACATACTTTGTCAAACTTAAAAATATATGAATTTCGTAATCCATTCATCTTTCTAATCTAAACACAAAATGGCTGTACACTTCATAAAAAAACTGCCAAAACAAACAAATAAATCACTAACTAACTTTGATGATGTCAAAGTTGACATCATCAAATGGCATCACAATGTCTTTGATGATGCAAAGTATTGTATGTGTAGCGAAAGTATTGTTTATTAAGGAAAAGTCAGCTGATCGCTATTTGATTTAGGTGTATGGAAATTGGAAATTTTTGAAAATCTCAGAAATATGGAAATGGGCTATTTTTGAATGCTGGATGATGAAAATAGTATATTTCGTACCAAGGGCCCAAAATTAGGTTTTGCCGGCTCTAGATAATTTTTTAGTTCGAGACGAAGTCGAGAACTTAAAACGATCAAGATCTGCAAAACTATTTTTCACCACACTATACCCTAATACCACTATTCACCACAATAATAATGCACACTGAGAGGAATCAGCAAAAATAATAATAAATAGTTGCTAGGCAGCGGTGACAATAAAACAATTGCAATGCTATCGATACTGATTGTGTATTTAATATTTTCTAATAATTTAAAAAATAGCTGTCTGTCTTTAGGTAAAATTCATCTATATGTTGGATTTTTTTGCACTCAGCCCCGGTGTGAGTGTACACACTCCCAACGAGTAGTGCGCTGCCAGTGCAAGGCATCAAAGGTATGAATTCACAGCCCAAACGAATTAACATATCGCATTTAAAAATCCAGCTTATAGTTTCTTTAGTTATACTGTTAGTTTATTTTCCGATGGTAAGATCATGATGGTTGGTATAGAAGATATTACGATTTCGCAGTGATTTTGGGAGATCATAGATATGCTCAATGACTGTGAGAGATGATCAGCATATTACCTCAGGCTCCAGCATGCTACGTTCAACATCTGTCTGTCCTCCTTCCACAGGTGGTGTCTAAAAATCAAATATGTTGTATCAAATAAATATCTGGTTAAAACTTATGGTTTTGTTATTGACAAAAATACTCCTTTATGTTACGCCTAGGCTTTCATTCCCTTTTTAGCGAATTTCCCTATAGGGAAGTAGCTATTACCGTAGGTCTCATGGTAAGACTTAGGCCCGGGACCGATTTACTTTTTCATTTTAATGTCCCCAGAGGCCAAAAACACCATTCGTTCAAATTTTTATATATGTATATATATATATATATATATATATATATATATATATAGATATATATATATATATAGATTTATATATATATGTGTCCGTGAACACGATAACTTGAGTAATTTTTATCCGATTTTGATGAAATTTGGTTTGAAGGTGTAAGGCAGGATAAACTTGAATGAGTTTGCGATCCAGCATGATCGGACTATGGGAACAGGGTTTTATGGGGGGTTTTATGGGGTAAAAATTGGTTTTTCTCACTTCTTACCCTCAAAACACAAAATTTCTCAATTTTTCTCTAAACCTTCTTAAAGAGCTTAAAAAAACAAACAATTCAGTATATCAAAGTGTTTTTGTACGGTTATTGGTTACGGAGAAAACTAAAAAAATGGTAAATTTAAAATTCCCATGTTATTCTTATGGAGAATATTGTAAAATGTTGTAGTTTGCTTGTTTATGGATATATTTTGATCAAACTTGGCAAATTTATTCATTTTATAGTAAGCTATAAATATTTTACTAAAAACTCACTACTTTATTAGTTTCCTTGTAGCAGCAAACCTAGGTACTCGTTAAACCTTGTATTGTTAAATCTATGTTATTTAAATAGATCAATTGAAAATCAATTCGGCCAAATGGAAATTCGCTTAGACGGCAGGTTTGCTGCGGCGGGGGTATTTAACTCTACAGCAACATAGCACTATGTGCCTCCTGCATCCAATCTCACACAACATCAGTACTTCCTGTGCTAGATTAAATTTGGGAGGGACTACTATCTGACTCTTCTACTATTTCTCTGTCTTTGATCATTAGAGGGCTGTCCAACAACAATAAGTTGGCATGGTAGTCCGTTTGTTGAACTTCTTCATTTTATACAACCATCATTTTACATCCAGTATTATTTTTCATCATACTTTCATCGCCTTTCTTGCGGTAACATTCAATCTAAATCAGTGGATATGTTTATAAATCAGCAGGGTTGACTTAAAACAGAATGCAGTAAAGTGGCATTCCAGAATCCCTCTTTAAATCAATGATTATTTTTAAACTTAATTAGATTCAATTATTACAAGTATTTGCTCCAAACTAAAACATTCGATACTGTTTTACAACTAATTGTTTTGAAATGTGGCTAACAAATTGATCAAGGGAATCATTTGAAGAGAATCAAGTTACTATTTAGAGATATTTGTGCAATTTATTAGTTGAATTGTGGATAAAATGTATTCCTAAAAAATCTATGAGCTACGTAGACTTTTTTGTGAGAACTCCTGTATACTTACTGACATATTACTTGATACTTACTTGATTTTTAGACATCTTAGTTTGCCCTGGTGCCAAAACCTTAAAACAAACAAATGGGTTGTTAATTGTTCTGCGAAAACCGAAATGATGGTAAAATATCAATGTGTTAGTATTTTTGTACGATTCTGATCCAGTTCTTCATAAAAGAACGTTAATGAAAAGTGCAACTAATACGGTGCTGCCGTCTGGTAGGTAATCAAGCAATGTCGCTGATATGTAGATGTCGGGTTGTTGCTGGTTTTTCAGCTCAATCAGCTGTTCTATAGCCAAGATTGTACAGGGTGTCTCACGAAAAGGTTGAAACGTTTGATTTTATATTTCTTGCCCATTTTTAGACCGATCATTTTGAAACTTTACACAGTTTATAAAGTATGTTTATAAAATATTCAGGGAAATTTCAGCTTTCTAACCCTAGTAAATACAAAATGGTGGCCTATTAGAAAATTATGATAATCAGTAAAACCCGTATTCATTGGTGAAACGTGCTTAGGCAATGCATATTTTAAGTAAAAAAATAATGAGTGTGTAAGACGATATACAAATCAAATTGCCTGGTTTTCTTCTATATCAAATTGGTTTGTTCCCACTGTCTATAAACACCAAACACCCTTTTTGGATTCAAAATGAATATGAAAACAATTTATTATAAGATTGTTCAAAATTTGAGTAGGTATAATATTTTTATTGGGGGTTTGGTATAAGACAACATGGATTATCGTGCTTAACTATCCTTTATTTTTTAGAAAGATACCGCAATCAGAAATTAATTACTCCACACATATTTCATAAGAGCAGATTTATAACCATGCTATACAACATTAACGTGACACATAATAAAACTTACCTTCAACGTGTTTATATTTGAATCAAAAGGCTCAAGTTGATCAAAGCCACCATGTAATCTCTCCTGAATGAGCCGCAGCTTTTTTTTTAGACCTATGGCCATTCTTGCAATTGTTTCTGCATTAGCAACATTGACTTCGTTCGTGCCACAGAAACGAAGTTTGTTTTCTGCTTCCCCTCCCAGGAATGGACCAGGCCCATCTTGTATGGGTCCCATTCTTTCGTCAGGATAAGTAACTTTTACAATTCTTCTTCTCAACCAGACACCAGGCTTAAGTGGCATTTGGTTATCTTGAGACTAAAAAAGTATTAGTTAAATTTTACAGTAGAATATTTATTTTTCAACCGTCTGTATTTCTTTAATGCAGCAGTACAGCCGCAGCAATGTACCTCAAGAATATGATGCATATCACCTGATGGTTAATGAAGGAAGGAAATCAGGGATACCAATATCTGTGTTTGTTTTGACGTTAAAAGTGACAAAATAGTGCATCCATCCATTCCTAAAAAATTACGGTTCAAAAGTCAATGCGACTTTTGTGATTTGACCATATCGCTTTACATCGGTTACTCTCATGGCTTATCCATGATAAAGGTTGTTGACAAGTCAATGGGAGAAAGAATGTGTTAGATTGCTGATACCGTTTATTTTGGATTTATGTATATATCAGCTGGTCGACTGTTGTTTCAATATTAGAGTGGAGTGGAGGGAATTAAATTGTTTGCCCTCAAACCACATAAGTTTTGTTAACGAAGTGTAATGGAATAGCAATCAATGGCCATGGTTAATCAACCACAAAAGGTAAGTGCACGTTTTTGAACCATTAATAAATACCCCCACCGCAACAAACCTTTAGACTAAGTGAATTTCACTTTTTCTGATAAGATTTTTTTACAAAAATATTAAATATTTTCATAAACAAGACATACTTATTCCCCATTTAAATAACAATAGATTTTAAAAGTACTTAGGTTTGCGATTCATAATAACTTCACAATAACACCAAACCTCATAGGTGAAAATGCATACCAGCTGATAGGAAATGAATTAAGGGAATCAGAGATACCAATATATGTGTTTGTTTGGTCGTTAAAAAGTGTCTTATAGTACCAAATTCTTGTAATTTGGGTTGCCTTAAAACAAACACCCTGTATTATTCCTCTTAATTTAGGTACTATTAATACTTGAGTGGACTTACCATGTCAATATTCTGTGAATTTTGCATCACACTGCAACAGAAAAATCCAATAATTACGTTTGATACCAACCTACCTCCATAGACAAAAAGAATCAGCTGTGCAGGGGTTATCATAGGTTCTGGTGCACACCGCTGGGAGTGCCATGTACTTACGGCGTACGCGGTAAACTACACTGCGCTTCCAGTGGTGTGCGCCAGAACCTATGATAACCACGGTAACCGCAGCACGATACGCACTCCTAAGTAGTGAGGTACCGGTATCTTCTTGATCTTCTTGTACGTGTTCTTAAATTAACGGAAAGTAAGTAAAATATGTCTATTAACACTCTTCAAACATCAACGTACAGTACTTATACTAATTACTATTTTTTTAAATTAGTAAATTAGTTAAATAAATTGAATTTTTGCTTAACGTGTTCTTGATGTGTTAAATATGTATATTTATTTATATTAGATTAAGAAATTCCATTGTATTTTTAATTATTTATATTTAAGTTTGTCAGGTTAAGTGTAAGAGAGGGCCATGTGGCCCTAACTTTGCCTGGTAAAATAAAGAATTTTTCATTTCATTTCATTTCATTTCATATACTGTTAACTCATAAGACAAGACAATAACTCATAAGTAAATACAACCAAGTACAGCCTTAGTATTTATTCAGGAATAGAACTGTGTTAGGAAAAATTTTAAGTTGGTCCAATTTTAAATTTTATATTTCATTATTTACATCTTTCATGACGTAAATTACAAAAATGGCCATTTTTTAATTAAACAAGGCAAGAACGATTAATATTTGTTATTCAAAAACACGAACTTCACAAATATGTAACCCATAGAACTGTATTCTGAGTTTAACTGTTTGCTTACAAGACACCCTGTACAATCAAATTATTGGTTTGAAATTTTTAGACCATTCACTGCTAAACTATAAAATCTTGTGGTTATAAATTTACTAGCTGTTATTTTGGTTAGGGTTTTGGTTAGACATAGTTTAGCTTGCATTAATCAATAATGTTATCTTGGAAGTCTACTGTCATCATAGCAACATACTATCTTCCAACTACTAATGTGTTATGTCAAAGAAATAAGTATATGCTTGGATTGGGTCAACTTTAGAAATACTTAGCATACCTTTCAATTAAAGATGAAACTCCAAAATTGCAATGATAACTTAAATTTTGAGCACTTTCTTGATAATTTTAGATCTTGTGAAATTTCATACTTAATTAATACCTTGATTCTTGTTTGTGTATTGAATAGATGTATTGTTGTGTTTTAAGGTTATTTTTTATTTGTGTTCATATTTTTTGAGAAATCATATGGTAATGAGACATAATATTACAACACAATTAATTGGGTAAAGTGAAGCCATAGATCATATCGACTTAGTTTAACTTGTTTAACTTTAGTTTAAGCATTGACTTTAGATACTGCACTACCACTAGGGAGATTTTTATTATCCTATTGTAAAACCTTAAGTTTGAAAATTAATTTTAGTTGCATATTAGAAAAGTAAAAAAAGTTTGCAAAATATGTTTTCCTCTAAAAATTTAAATGTCTACAGTTTGGGGTGCATTTCCAATTAATATATTGAAATGAATATGTCAAATTATTGCCAAGCCTTCGACTACAAATAATAAAACATTACCTATAGAGTATCATTTTTCCTTATCAATAAAAATTTGATAAGGTTCAAGTCAAACCTCATTTTAAGAATAATACTATAGTAGCAAATAAAATCCTGATAATTTTTGCTCAATCTCTATATCTTACCTGTGTGTTCAAAAGTATTTGAAAAACTTATCACAGAGCATATTAAATAGTTTTTTTTTTTTTTTTTTTTTTTTGTAAAAACAGGTTTACCAAAGAACATATGGGTTCAGATCTCGGTAACACAGTTCAGGTTCTGTCTAGCTTCCTATGTGAATTTGGCACTAGTTTGGACACATCGAGAGTGTTGCGAGAATCTTCTACGATCTGCCAAAAGCTTTTAAATGTGTTGTTCACAAAATTTTATTCTCAAAACTGTGTTTAGAGTGTAAAAACACACACGCACACACACACAAACACACACGGTCACGGACCTTGACACCACTTGGCGGACCAATCGCTTTAACTATTTTTGCGCTCTCGATTAAGCCAATTATCCACACGAGAGCTTGCCAAACTAATTATAAAGTTGTTGATTGAGCAGGTATCTCAAAGTCTATCATTTTAAATGATACGTGTAATTCACATAGTCTTTGACTTGAAGATAACTTGCTAATGCAAGCATTTTAGAAATTATCATTTATTGTGTTTATAGCACTATTTACACAGTGCAAAACAGTCTAGAGATAACATAAATCAATAACTCAATTCTTTACAACCTAAAATTTACCTTCCTAATCTAACCTAACTTCAAAAAACTTAATACAGTCACGAATCCAAATAACACCCGACCTACCTACCTCACATGTCTAAATAAGAACTAATTAAGTAGTTCATAATCAATGTTCAGTTGAATTTATAAATGCAGACCTCTTTGTCCTCTTTATACAAACTTAATGTTTGTCGTCTTAGGTTCCTTCTTCTTCCCTAGATGATTCTTTCAATCGTTCATGTTTGTGTTAGTCAATTGACTTAACACAGAAATGGTGACAGAAACAAGCAGACAAGAGGCATTACAGTAATAAAATTCAAACGATATAGTTTAATCATTTTCTGTGATAAATCCTTATGGATTTAAAGAGTACTTAATGCTCCTATACTTTATACTGTTATGTGTACTCTCACACCGAGCAAATCACGTGGTGACCAAAAGCCTTGTCAATGACTAATTTGCATTTATAAAATAGTAATGTGTCTGTAATGTATCACTATAATTAGTTTATTCACAATGCCACTAACATAATGCATTAATTTTGGATAGTGAAGTATTTCCATTTGTGGTGTTAGTTTCGTTTGCGGTGCTAATTAGACTGTTAACAGAAGCTCATCATGCTCAACACTTGAAATTGTATCACAATTGATTTCTTGTTTTAAAGTATCAATAGTTAGTAGATCGGTAGTTACAAGTATAGTATTTTATTTTAAGGTTGTGCAGAATGTTAAATAATAAAAAATTGTGTCTGCATCATTGATGGTAGACATGTTGCAACAATTTCAACTTAAGGCGTTCTGTATTTGAGAATTACCTTTAACGATGATCATGAAAACCTTATAAATAACTGTAACCTTTCGTGCACATTTTTTTATCTGTCAACAAACACAACAAGGTTATGGTCTACTAATCCGTCATACAAAAGAAAATATAAGTTACGTTTACAAGCTCACAAAATGATATAATCATCAACGTGAAGTATAATTTAATTGAATTCATTTTTGCCTATGAATGTTTATTTTAAACACGGCTAAGTTGGCATACCTGATGACGAGGAACAGGTGACGTTTCCGGTTCCTGAATTAATCAAATCTCCCTCCTCAAGGCCGAATGTCAAACTGTTTTAGCTTGGACTAAAGCCAAAATGCTGGTCTTATTCATGTGTCAAGGCATTTCATTTGCACGTGCAAATTTCAATCTGAATTCAAACTAAAATTAGTGTACCTTCGTCATCTGTGTATAAAGAATTAATTGTTTGCGCTATTTTCGACCAGGGGTTTATAAATTATACTCTTCAAACGCGGATAAAAGAAGTACATCATTTTCATATTATTTTATAGGCATAGCCTAATTTTTTATACAAAATCAGACGTCGAAAAAATCAACGACAATATCACGAAGTAAATTCATTGTATAAAGAAAACTAAATAGTCTTCTTGTTTGTTTTTTTCCTTTTTTGCATAAGTTTACTCCCTATTGTGTCTTGTTGTTTTGCTGGTCAACATCTTTAAACATCTCACATATTCAGTTATTTATTTTTTTTGTTCCCTTCTTCTATATTTTTTTTTATAACATCTACTATTTTTAATATTAATCTTATCTTACTAATATTATAAATGTGAAAGTTTGTGTGTTTGTTTGTTTGTTTGTTTGTGTGTTTGAAGTTCAATCACGCATAAACCACTGGACGGATTGGGCTGATCTTTGGCATGATGATAGCTTACCTTCCCGATTAACATATAGGCATATTCTTATCTCAAAAGTCCTTTCGGGCTCCACCCCAGTGGCTCTGTAATTCCCCATGTTAACCTTATGAGTATTCATATTTAAAGGGAATTAAATAATTTAGTCAGCTGTTTCAACTAAAAAATTTGGTTCTATGATATGGAAAAGCATTTAAAAGTTATAAGATTTACCGACAGGGTGCAGCACTATATTTTTTTTTTCATTTATGAAAACAGCTAATTTGAACTAAGCAGCAACAAAAAAACGGTGATTCGCAATGAGAACTGTCAAAGTAGGATTGTTTATGGCTATGGTATTGTATTGTGCTATGGTAGATGTGTAACACTATAGAATACTGTAAATTTAAAAAAGCAAATTTTATCAAATTGTGTCCTCCCTTATTGCAAACACAAAGCTTGAGTATAACTGCAATAAGCATTTTATACTTATATTCCAACCCCATACGAAGGGCGGGTACTCTGCTAGTAGAATATATTACTAAGTAACGAACACATATGTATTGATGACTGGGTAAATAATAACCCTGTTTGAAGTATTGCTAACACTTTATACAATTAACCAAGCCAAACTGAAAGAAAGATATCGTTCACCAAAGCAATGGCATAAAATGTCACAGAAACAAAATCTAAGGGCGTAATAGCATTTATTGTATACCTTAGGAAACGGTGAGTGGCCTCGTTCACCTATGTCCTTTTTTAGTCAATAAATTAGCTGCAGCTGTTCCGATATAGATATGATGTCCGCTATAGCATCGAAAGGTCAATGGTTGGATATGTTTCATCAATGGTTGTGGCCAGTTTTATAATAAAAACAAAGTTAGTTCAATTGGCTCACCGGCAAACTGCGCTGACAAAAATTAACATTTCTGTGGGACTTTTTGACCAAGCCGAGCTGAAAAATGCGTATTGTAAACCATAGCATCATTTATCACATTAACTACAGAAACAAAACCTAAGGGCGATACAGAATTTTAGACTGTAACGCACTCGTTAAGCTGTTCAATCAACTATGTCCTTTTTTGTAAAAAAGATTGCATTCAGCAAGTCTATAGAGGATGACTACTTCTGTATCCAAAACTTATTATGTTGATTCTTCAAGATAGATTATTATCAAACCAAAGTATATATTTTCCAAAAAAACTTGGCTTATTCCAGACCATTCCCTTTCAAACTAAAATATCAGCTGACGTTGAAACGCACAAAATAATAAAAACGAAACGATAACTTAATAAGTAAAGAATTTGGTCCTTCGAACCGGATATTATTTTAATTGACTGAGTTATTTTCAAAACAATTTTGTATTGCTTATATATACCGTGTAGAACTTAATGATTATAGTTTTAGAGCACAGTACGACATCTAAAGCAATAGTTGTCATGTGTTGTGGTCTGAATTGCGCATGCGCCAGGGTGGATCGGCGCGCATAGATTAGTGGTCAGTAAGTTGTGAGAATGTGTGGCCGAACAGAGGCTACCCTCCGAGCCTACCTGAGTCGAACACTTGGCGTAGACGAGGACTCCTGGACCATCCAACCCTCCAACATCGGTGGCCGGGGGGTCTTCGCCACCCGGGACTTGAAACCTGGAAACCTAGTGTTCCATGACAGGCCGGTAGTCTGGGGTAAGTACCTACTTTCTTCTATTGCCTTGGATTTGAGTAGGAGCTATTTTCTTAATTGTTTATGAATCACAGCATTAGTGCTGAATAGGTTTTCATATCTTAAATTATTTTGTTGGTTTGTTGAAAAAACGTACAGAATACTACTTGGAGTTGAATAATTGCAAAACTTCAAGAGTACATTTTAAAATAAATGGTGTTAAAGTAATGTTTTATCATAAGGTAACATGTTTGAAAATAATTATGTAGTCTATTGATAAATCCAATTGAAATTACTATAAACTCTGTGTACAATAGGATTGCTAAGGTATTATATCATTAGCTCAGAATGGTTTTTAAATAAAAAAATACGCTTGTTTCAGAATAATAACATTTATTTTCCCTCAGTAAATACGACATGCCGTTCCTGAGTTTATATTATTATTTACAAGCTGCTATACCCGTGCTTTGCAACGGGAAGAAAATGTGACTGTAGAGAGCTATTAAAGTAATTCTGATGTGTGTTTTAAAATACGGCAAGTCTATGATTTAGTTTGAAAATATAAACTGATTTAAACGTGTAAACCTACTTACTTTCAAACTCCTACTTATTATGTTAATAGATCCATAAGAATATGACAACATACCTTAGTGTAGCAACAGCATCAATTTCTTCATATTGATGCTTCACGAATGACATGTTTTACCATAATTCTTCAACTTTAGTCAAGCCTCTTTACATGTAGCTTACTATATAAATTACAAAATGAAACTTTGAGCAATACTATAGAAAACGTATACAACCTTTCTTTAAAACCAAACATAACCCTCCTAAATCTACATAAAGCATCACAAACATCTTTTTCGAGTAAATAAACAAACACCAGTTCATTGTACTGACCAGCTGTGTCATTAACTAAATTAAATTAAACTTTGGAAGCATGCCGGGCGTAGCCCTTTGGAAATCAGCCTGTGGGGCAGAGCCCTTAGGAAATTCGTCCATATCAATACTTTTCGTCAAATCTACACATTCTAAGCTTCATTTTGATGTGACATATGCCTATATTTTTATTTGGCAAATGGCCTTAACCGTTTACATAAAATTTGATTGTATCACTTTAATAATATAATAGATTTTTATACTATTATTCTAATTAATTGTTGTTAAAAATGTTTGCATCTTCCACCCTAAACCATTTTTGGATACAAACAAATTATTTCAAATCGACGATACTGACCTAGTTTACGTTTGTTTTGTGTAGAAAAGCTTGTACAAAAAGGAAAATCTTTTGTTTATTCACACTAAAATATTTTTTTATCCACCATTTTAATTAAATACATCCAAACCATTAAAGGGATATATTGCAGTATTTATACGTTTGGTAGTTACAAAAATGTTTTTTACTACACTACACAGAATACTGTCTATCAAAATGATCTCGTCGTGAAAGGTAGAGTAGGTTAAATGATTCAACTTGCTTGCTTACAAATATACTTCATTTACATTTGGCAACATGCTTAGTTTCATGGTAAACAGTTTAAACTAAACATCACCTAATTGCCTTCCGTGTTACAACAAACATTAGCATTATTTATTTAGCGATAATTTATTTACATTGAAGATATGTAAAATGGTAAATGTCCCCCTTAAATTAGGGTATACATACACAAACTAACTACATCAGTTTTTAATAATGCTTTCTGTCAGCTGTTTTGTTTAGACTACCTACACTAACACAGTTGTTAAAGAAATAGCCTGCGTATAATTTTGCGATTTACATAAAACCATAGGATAAAACATACCCTGCAAGACAGTAGGCTACGAAGCCGATACCATTTGAGCTTACAAATAGCTTATTAACAGGAATGAGAATTAATTGTGACTTGATTGCATATTAGTTTTAGTATGCTATTGCAGTGACTACTGTATAAGAAATCAAAAGTTGTATGAAAATTGAACAAAATATTTGATTGATAAAATGCATTGCATCATGGCATAGACAAAAAGAATGAACTATAGACTGTCAGCTGTGCTATGGTTACCATGGTTATAGGTCGGCCACTTAGAAAAGAACCCGCGCGCTAATGCTATTAACATTAGCGCGCGGGTTCTTTTCTAAGTGGTCGACCTATACCATAAGTTCTGGTGCATTCCGCTGGGAGCGCCGTTTAGTTACGTAGCGCGTACGTAACTACATGGCGCTCCCAGCGGTGTGCGCTAGAACCTATGGTAACCGCAGCACAGCTGATGGTCTATATTTAATTCTTGTTGTCTATGATCATGGATACATAATGGCCCAAGAAGGTGCAATAGCAAACAACGCAAATCATCAAGTTTTCAAGTATGGGGATATAGTGTACTAGGTGAACCCGTGCGAATTCGCACGAATAAGTAATAAATTAGGATATTATAGCAACGTCGATAGAAGTTACGTCGTTGTATTGTTGGTCTTGAGCTCGATCGTTGGCTATATGCATTCTAAGTTCTTTTGCTGTGCATTAGGAATATTTTGCAGGACGGAACTAATCATGCTGAAAATGTGCGCGTATGGATTAAAATCAACCGAATGTTGAGTCAAAATGTGCATGAGTCCAGTGCTGCAAGAACCATTAGCTTTGTTTAGCATTCTTCCTTGAACAGCGGATTTGACGTCCGTAGATATAAATTTGGGTATATGTGGGATGCTCCCCTTCTGACGGTTAAAAGGTGTCAATTGAGTGATAAAATGTGCACCTTATACATGAAAGGCCCTCCACCGTTATGTTCTTCAATTTTAGCTCGAGTGCTGACCATTGCGAGCAGAGAGTTGTACGATCTAATGTTCTCTTTGTAGTTTCTGCTCAAATGATCTGGTTGTAATAGATTTCTTTGTTAGTGATAGATTCACTTTTCTTTTATGGCAGCAGAATAAAATCCTTCACCTCGTCCTCTTTGTTCTTCTTTAAAATGTAGCGCACCACATTTCTGACATTTTAATGCCATCTCGCCAAGTGAATGCTGCTGAATTCTAGTATTTGTCAGTGTAATTTTGTAAGTACACGTTGCCACTAACTGTTCCAGCTCCTCGTCTGGGCTCCTTACGTTTTGCATTGCTTGCCCTATGTTGACTCACCGTGTCCGACCGGCAATATTTCTTTGTCGTCGGGTCCTTGACATGTTTCAACGAAAATATAATGTAAAACTTTTCTAACGTAGTGTCCTATAGGTAACATTTCTTTGCCGGGTTTCTAATTATTTTTAAAAACATGCAAACTGTTTACATTTCAAAACCAAACAAAACAGCTGGGATTTAATTTTTGTTTAAACTGATGTATTGACATCTGTTTCAGAATATAATAACATTCAAATCAATCACAATGTTATCGTTATGGAAGGAACTTTGAGGGCAGCCCACGCCCTTAAAAAGACATATTTTGAAAATCTAAAGCCAGTTTGCACATCTACACACCTAGACGAACATTTTGGTATATAATATGTGGGGTTAAATCTTAAAACAAAAAAGCCGTATTGTTCACAAAGTTTCAAGTCGCGTATTAAATATATAGATGACTTTAAGTTGTGAGAGCTCTCCTTGCCTTAAAATTATATTATTTTTAGAAATTGGTTTACATTCAGTTTATGGTGTATTCTGAGCTGCTAGACAAAGACGTTTTTATATAACTCGTGAGCAAGTTAGACTTTACATCTTTGTAAATTAACTGCATAGCCATTAAAATAAAACATGGTTCATAAGAAATAGTATATTTCATTACTAGGACCGAAAGTGACATTTTCCGTCGCGCGCTCAAGTTTTTGTGTGTGGCGAAGCCGAACACAGGGAACATCAATTTCACGTGCGAGGCGAAGCCGAGTATGTGAGAGCTATTTTCACGTACGAGGCGAAGCCGAGGACGGGAATAATGGAGCAAGTGCCGGATAATAACTTTCGGTACGAGTTATGAACGATACTTTTCATCACGACGCAAAAATACACAAACACAGAATAGCAGACCTCAGTAATATTACAACTATTTTATTTCTCAATTACTGTAATTTGATTGACATAAAAAAATGAAATAACATTTTCTAAAAGGAAACCTACGTATATTTCTCAATACATTTTGTTTAAATATCAAAATAAAAGAATAAAACAACTTTGAACAATACATAGGCCTACAGCTGATTCAAATCATTAAATTAAACCATAACAAAACACTAGCGCGCGTAGTGAATAAATAGATAACTAATTGAGAGCGAGGGAAAGTAAATTTAGAGCGAGGGAAAATCAGCTGATCGATTTTCCCTCGCCCTAAATTAGAGCTTGGGAAACGACTACTTTCATTGATGTCAGCTGTTATCGAAAGTAGTTACTTTCGTTACGGAGTGATGAAAAAGAAATACCTCCGCTTCAGCAAATCTGCAGTAAATTTCTATTTGCCTGATTGGATTGTCACTATAATATTTCCTTAAACATGTCAGATTTAGTCACTATTTAAATAACATTGGGTTTAACGAGTACTTAGGTTGGTCGCTACCGGGAAGGTAATAAAGTGTGTTTTTTTACTAAAATGTTAATAGCTTAGTAAAAAATAAATAAATTTGCCAAGTTTGATCAAAATAAAAATCTATAAATCTGTAAACTGCGTCAATTTACTTATTTTCCATAAGAAACATAGCAATTTAAAATTATATCTAATTTTCTCCGAAACTAATAACCGTACACAAATACTTAAATAGGTATACTAAATTATTTGGTTTTCAAGCTCAACAAAACGGTTTAGAGAGAAATTGGGAAATGTTATGGTTTGAGGCCGAAAAACTAGAAAACCCACTATTCGACCGAGTTCATGAACCAGCATAATCGGACCATGGGAACGGGGGTTTATGGAGTAAAAATGTTGTTTTCCCATTTTTGACCCTAAAAACAATAAATTTTGCAATTTCTTTTGGAACCGTTTTGAAGAGGTTAAAATAGAAATAATGTAGTATATTGAAGCATTGTTGTATGCCTAACGGTCACGGAGAAAATAAAAAAATAGTGTAATAAAAAATGCCTATGTTATTCTTATGGAGAAAATGAAAACTGTTGTAGTTTACTTGTTTATGGATGTATATTGATAAAATTTGGCAAATTTATTTACTTCATCCTATACTATTGACCTTTCTTAAAAACACTTTTTACCTTTCCCGTAGCAGCAAACCTATGCACTCGTTAAATCTAATGTTACTGTATTCAAATTGGGAATAAATATGTGTTATTTATGGAAATATTTGAGTAAAAATTTAATCAGACAAGTTGAAATTCTTTTAGTCTGCAGGTTTGCTGCGGTGGGGGTATTTTAACTGGCTACAGGATTACGATATCAATGGTCCTTCTAGCAATAGCCAAAGCTATTATGGTGAGTTCATCTATTTAACCCAGGCTCTTATGGACGAAGCTTCAACGAGCTAAAGACCACGCTACTAGCCACGCTACTACTTTGAAACTAAAACTCAGATCAATAAATATAAAAACAGCAACAGATTTACACAGTTTATCACTTAAAGTGGTAACTCAACAAGACTGCATCAAACCCAACATAAACTTTTGTCAAGGCCAAAGACTAGATTTATCTAGTGTGTCCATCTTGCTAATCGTGCGGTTCAACTCTAATTTGGCATGTAAGTGGAATGCCAAGTGACGCCTAATACAATGCCAACGTCGGTTGTAAGATGTAAATGGCAGTGAACAGCTGATGTTTGACTATCGAGGGCAACGTCGTTTGTTCCCTGTTTCTGGCCCTTAAATCAGACCTGCGGCCGCCCTTTGCCAAAAAGCCTCCCAAGAAATCGGCAGACCATTAAACTTGATTAAACTCATCTTAACAATGGCTCGAGCTGGAATAGGAAAGATATTTCCAACTTGGCTGCAAATAGTGCACATGAATATGATTGAAAATGTTGATTGTTTTTATACTGTAGTGTCACATGTGCTTATTCTCTGCTATTTTTATTGAGAGAATTTACAAGTGCTAGTTATTTGCGTTATTTTAGGATTGATTTGAGTCGGCCTACCTTCTAGCTCTACAGACCCGTCTCCCTACAATATTAATATTGACAATTTTCCTTCGACATTCTGAGTATTTGTACAGCATTTTTTGGAATTTTTAATACAATAGGGGAAATATTAGAAAGTTAAGAATGTTTTGGGAAAAAGTTTTATTAAGGACTATTATAGGATACAGTAGAAATTTAAAAATTTAAATATCGTATAAAAAAATATTCCTGTTTAATGTAGTTTATCAATTCTTTTACAGTATTATACACCATATATACAGTAGATGGCATACACCATTCTTCCTTGATCGGCTGTTTGGCTGTAACTATATGGATTTATAACCAAATTGTGTGATTTCTAAAGGTTTGCACCATAATACCTCTTTAATAAAACGTAAATATCATAAAAACAAACCAGTAATGACTATGTACTCGACGTGCAATATGAGGTATAACATATAAATTATAAAATATGATATACCTTTACCAATACGTAATGTTTATATGCATGGGTATTCAATGCTTTCACATTGTGTAATTACATTCTGTAACCTCATCACAATATCAAACTATTTAATCAACGACGTAAATGTCTATCTGCAGATGACTGAAACATTGTTCTTAACCTGTGATTAAATTAACACCACAATAATTAACCATCTGATTTATAAAAACAAACATCCACAATTATTTTGTTGAGTCTATCGATCTTGTGAACTTACGTTGAAAATGTCCTCCGAATCAGAGTCTGAAGAGCCCGTGCACGCCAAGCCGGTCCAGAAGAAGTACCTCGAGGACGAAGTGACCTTCACCAACCTCCAACTGGCGATGATGATTCTCCTCGTAGGCCTGATGGGCTACGTGATCTACGAGTACGAGTACGTGCACGTCCAGGCGCTGAGGTTCTACGCGACCATGGGGGACCAGGACGCGCAGCACATCCTAGGTCAGCGATACTACACTGGAAGAGGAGTTATGAGAAACAAGACGACGGCGTTCTATTGGTTCAAGGAGGCCGCTAAGCAGGGTCACGGCCATGCTAGCTACAACCTAGGGGTGGCGCATATCCAGGGGTTCCATCGGCTGGAGCGCAAGGGGGAGGCGCATGAGTTGATCAAACACGCGGCCAAAGTAGGGGTGAAGGAGGCCGAGCACGTGCTGAAGACGGCATGCGCTGCTGGGGAGTGTGATCGTTGAAGAATTGTACTGTTTGAAAGTGAAGAAAAAAATGCTTCATTGATTTGTTTTAACAGTTCGGACAACCACCTTTGTTTAAGAGTATTTTCCTCTTGATTTGCATACTTAGCTGGAAATATTTGTGAAACATCTGAGGATTGTGAGTTCATTTTGGCTAATACATTTAGTTTTTGAATCTGGAGCTGAGTTTTGTTCATTCTAAGTGCGGATAACACCACCTTCTGTAAATTAAATTTATTATCATACCTTCTGAATGACTATACTTTGTTCTTAAAACAATGAGCTATTACAATAGGTTATTAACCACTTAAGTCATCTTTAAGAGGCAAATATTGTCGCACCGACTCATAGGAAGCTTACTCTTGTGGTTAGGCCACAACTTTGACAAACTACACCAATGAAAAAGCTTTTCATCATTAGCGGTAGGTTTGGTATAGGCCACCACTTAACTGATTGCATCAGGGAAATATATTTTAGGTTGCAAACCTACTTTGTGATTGAGGGAAATACTCTAACATAAAAAGTTTACCTAAAAAATATTCCATAAATTTAATTTTCATCCACTTAATTGCAGTAGCAGTAGCCTATACTATCCAGTAGATTTACTACTAAACATGTATAATTTTTCTGATGTTTATACGACTCTAAAAATCCCTATACATTAAGAGATGATAATATTTGAAGGGTTATGTTTGTCCCAAGCGTTACAAATAATTTTAAGTGTTAGCCTAAAATTAAATCATGACTTTGGTAGGCTAATACAACCTCACTGGTGTGAAAAATTTCTAACTTGAAAGAGCAATATTTTACTGACGCTGCCATCTGTTATAAAGTGTTAATTGTCTTATGATTGTTCAGTTTAAACGCCCCATATCCACTAGAAGACTAAGCAATTGAGCAGACAGCCAAGTTTAAGGCGCTCTTGATGGTCGTGTTGATAGGTAGGTGCCAAAAAGTTAAAGCCAGTTGGTTGGATTTGGCACAAAATTTGCCAGGAAATGGAAAGGTCAATGAGGTTGCACCAGGAGACTTAGCATCTCACACATAGAGGTTTAATTTGTAAAAGTGAGAATCTTTTTGATACAGTTTTTTATCAGAATTTTACAATACAAATACAAACAGTACCCATCATTATTGGAAAGCACCATAATGATTTCCCCCCTACAATATTAAGTTAATCAATTGTTAGTAGTTAAAGTGTGAGATTCATTTTAATTAATTCAATGGGTATTTTTGAGTTTCATGCATTGGTAAGTTAGAAACTGTAATTATTGTTTTAGCTTTATGTTAATCGCAAACTACAACAGTGGAATGCATTGTACAACAATTGGCAAAAACTAATGGCCAAAAATCATCAGACTTTAGATAGATTTATCAAACTCAGTGAATTTTTTGATTAAAATTTATGTAGCAGGTCAGTAGGACACAGATCGAGATAACTAGTTGGTTAGGATTAGCCACTTGGATGAATTTATATACAGGGTTAATAAAAAGTCTGGAGACCCCCTTTCAATTTTTTACGGCTCACACTAGAAAAACTAAACTCTGCACACCTTTATGGCATGTTATGAAGTACTTTTTGGGCATAAGCGCTGCTTCGTGTACATCTCCAAGATGGGGGATTTCAGGGGAAGCTCAAAAATTTCAAACGGTAAGACCCCTCATTTTGAAGATCCTGATAAAAGAAACCCATCAACGCAAACTAGGAGTCTCTATCTCAACCCAGTAAAAAATGGCAGTCAATTGAAATTCTCAGAAGTGAAATTTAACTTACAGCTTTCCAAGTCTGTGACCTCCTGAAAATTTTGTACGGCTCACAGTAGAAAAACTAAACTCTGCACACCTTTATGGCGTCCTTTGTTTGAATTTCATTGTTGGTGATGGTGAGTTAATTTTGCTCAAAGGTTTATTATTGCGGACGTTACAATACAACCCCCCCCCCCAAAAAAAAACAAAAAAAAACTACTTTATAAAGTACTTTTTGAGCCTGATTGCTACTTGGTTCGCAAACCTATTGGGGATTTCGGAGGAAACTCAAAATTTTGAATGCTAAGCCCATCGAGTGACCCCTCATTTCGAAGGTCATGATAAATGAAAACTAACAACGCAAAGAATCGCTGCCTTTCTAACTATCAGTGTTATTCAGGTCCCAGAGCCAAGCCAGATGAGCCCATGTGCAGTTCCTGTGGAAGGCGGGGGCGTGTCGCCGCTTGCCCCGCTGGATGTCCCCTGCCTGTCTGCAGCCCCATCTGTGCTGCATCTCCTCTTCACATAGAGGAGTGTCGCCTAGCCAGTTCCAACATAGACCTTCCTACTGGCTGTTGGCGTCTAGATCTTGTAGGGATTGTGACTCCCTTAAGATGCCTATTCCTAACTCCAGAGGACAGGGAAGTTGTTCAGTGTCTTCAAGGAAATACTGGGAAGATCCATGGTGTTGAGGTTAGGTTTCCATATTTTTATACCCAACTGATAAGTAAGTATTCAATTACTTCTTACACTATACGTTGTGTAAACCTGGTTATTTGACCTAGGTGTAGGGAAAGGACAGTTACTTTGACTTTTTGCCAATATATCTAAAGTTTTATTATTAAATTATCTCCCTTAATTACACATCTTTTAACTTATTATTGACATTTTAAATTTCAATTTTGAAGTTGCGAAAATACTAATTATTAAATTTAAATATCTTTATATTAAACTCTTCTTTATATTAAATCGCAAATCCTTTCATCTTCAGTTTTTTCACTCACAATAAATCATTAGCAAAACTAAGTCAGCTGTTATAAACTTTAGAAATATTGCTGTGCCTTATCAATACAGTATTTTGAAATATTAAAGAAACTATATCCATAGGTACTATAAAAAATTTCAAACAAATAATTTAGCATTAAAGACAGCAGACAAAACTAATATGATTATCAAAGCATCAAGGACTAAAAAATGTAATAGCAAATACAGAATATGTTTCATTGCATCTCTGATTCTACTATACAAAAATATCAACAAACAACTTAATATACAAACCAGTTCTTTTAATCATTTCCATCGTCCATTGCCTTTACATTTTCACACTTACCATTAGGAAAACATAGTAACAGATATTTCATTTATTTTAGAAACAAAAGAACACTGTGTACTGCTTAGTTTTATGATATTTTCCTTGGTTTAATTTAATCAGTGGTGTGGCAAAACACAAACAATAAATTTATCAAATAAAGTAAAATTTGAACTGAAAGCTATGTTAAGATAAAATAAGAGTATTTTGTATTACCGCACATATACAACAGATTTTAGAAAACAAAAATCAAAGACAATTTAGTTATTGATGGTATTTTTTAGTTTAATTTAAGCATAGGTTTAGCAAAACACAATAACTTAATTTACCTAAATATACATATAAAAAACAATGTGATGTGCAAATTATAGTTATAATCTAACACATGTGAAGCAGTTTGAATTTATTTAAAGTAGCCTCCAAATTCATACAAAACATCTATACATTGTAATTTTCATACTGTTTCCATGAAAACATATCAATAACATTATTTTAACTTAAGATTAAGATTAATAACTTAAGACGCTTTATCTACGCTTTAATGACGCTTTCATTGACATAGTTTTAGAATAAATAATCCATGATAAAATGTTAGATCAAAATAAACCTACCTCATATTTATGGAAAATATTATTTCTTTGTATCAGCTGTCTGAAATTGTGAAATATGCAGTTTAGCAGTTCTTCTTGTTTATATTTAAATGTCAAAGCAAATGTAAACAAACATTGTTAGTGTTCTCATCACAGCCATGGAGACCAATCAATATTTACTTTTAAAATGTTCACCTAAGAACTTTTAAAACCAAAGGGGCAAAAGTCTACGGTCAGTATCGAAATGTGAATAGTCCTATAATGGTCCTTGGTATGGTAACTATATTTTTGTAAAATGTAAGCCCAGTTAGTTCAGTAGTTTTTGCACCTATTAGTAATACACATACAGACAGACACCATTAGATTTTTATATAATAGTATAGGTATAGATATAGAAGTATAGATGTATAGAGGTGAAAAAATGTTGTCCTTTGTTTGTTATGGAGAGCTCTAGGAGATAGAATTCGTTATATCATGGAAAATGTTATATTTATGTTTATTTTCGTTATATCAAGGTTAGACAGTTTTTAATTGAGCCACGACAGAATTGCTGATGAAAATTAGTTATTTAAGTCAAATACCCCCAACTTTTTAACCAAGTCAAGCAGATTTGATAGGTAGACCTAATGGATCGCCCGGAATTTTACCCCATGAACCTTAATTTTGTTTACGATAATTTCTCATAAATTTGTTACTAAAAAAATAAGGTGAATATTTTGAACAAATATAGCGTACAAAAATTAATAGATATTAAGTGGAATTTTCAGTACCGTTTATTTGAAATGTGTATTTGTATTCCTTAAAATTGTGATCTTACAATCCTGTCTCTGTTAAAGGTTGATTTGATGAAGCACCACATGAAAGGCAAGTTGAAGCGAGAAGACGAGGAGTGGATGCGTCAGTGTTGCTGTGTCATGGACACAAACTCTTTCGAGTTTCTTCGAGTGTTTGAGGACGGCGCTCAAACCAGCCTTCGAGGCCTGTACCCTCTGGCATCCATAATGAACAACGAGTGCAGTCCTAACACATGCCATGTTTATGACGCTAATGGAATTATGAAGGTATTAGAAGTGGCTTTCTATTCCATATTCTAGTTTTTTATAAAGTGTTTAATATTTTCTTCCCCTATACAAAGTATATGGAGAAAGTATTGTTAGTGTCAACATTTTTGAGTTTGGGTTTTGAGTTTAAAAATAGTTGTTTAGCCTCCGGATTATACTTAAAATGCTTTAAATTTTATTATACTTAAAATGGTTTACAATACCTGCATATAGTAATCTGAAACTGAATCGGCGAGCACTCTGGACGTAGGTACCGTGAGTGTAGATGTACTGAGCTATAGACTACACCTGTTAGTAGTCCATAATATTGATGAATTTTTTTATGAGGGTACTAATCTACGATCTTTAAATGTGGTTTCTCACTTTTTCAGAATTTAATTTTTCAACTGTGATCATATCATAAAACCCATTAAATAACAAAAATTGGATTTTCACAGAAACAGCTTGAAAGGTTATGACAAAAATTTATTTATTATACTATGGTCTAGTCTTTTTGAGTCTAAACAAAATATGGTACAACATACAATCCCTAATGCTGTTAGAACTACAATTCATTATTATTAATTTTTTTTATAACAAAAAATATCTTAGTTACTTCCACCACTTACTCATGAAACAAATTTTTGGAAGAATGAATGTAATTTTTGAACCTCCCATACAAAAAAGTTTTGGAGAATGCAGAAAGAGAGAAGAAGAGAAAATATTTAACAATAACAGAAACGAGAAATGCTTCTTTTACCCCACTAGTCACGTCTGTGGACGGAATGCTAGGCAAAAAGTTTCAGACCTTGCTCAGAGCAATGGCAGAACGCCTAACAGAAAAATGGAAGAAACCATACAGTTTAGTGATGAACTGGATAAGGGTAAAAACCATCTGTGCGACGTTAAGGTCCAGCAGCATGTGTCTAAGGAGGACAAGGAAGAAGTGGAGGACTCTTAGAGAGTTTGAAGATGGGGCTGGAGTACCAGCTTTTTATTAATTTAAACAGCAAATGTTTTATTATTTTTCCATGTCAAAATTGTACTATAACTTATAATATTAAAGTGTTTTGGTTCTGCTTAAAAATGTATGTGTCAGTTTACGCTTTTCATTGTGGTAACTCAATAGTCAAAGCTTTTACTTCTAAATATGTGTCTCGTATGTTTACTTCAGTTTTCCTTCATGAAATCATTAATGTTTGCAGGTAGTGGCAGCCAGGGCTATTACCAAAGGAGAAGAAGTTACAACTTCTTACAGTGTTCTGCTGTGGAGCACAAACATCCGCAGGATAAACCTGGCCAAGACAAAACACTTTCTTTGTAGATGTTCTCGCTGTTTGGACCCCACAGTGAGTCAATATTATACTTAAACAGTAACTTTAATATATACTATGGTTAAACTGTATAATACAATAAGGTCATCTTAAAAGCAGTAGAACCGCTATGAATTCAGGGGATCCCCCAGAGTGAGAGTTATTTTCTTTGGGTCCTTATAAGCTATGTTTGTATACATTGAAACAAATAAACCTTATTTTACCATTATGAGTCTAGTTTAAGGCCATAAAATGTATCTAAAAGCTTTGTCTGTTTATTCTTTTGCTCTTTGTAAATCGTCTCAGCTGCTGAGTGGCCCATCTCTGGAATGCCGAATACTTGGCCAAGTCCAAGTCCTTCTAGTAGGCATTTTCGCCAGTACTGCAGAGAAAACAGTACAGTAGTAGTCTTTCATTGACTACATACCATAACGTTATGGTATATATAGTCAATGGTCTTTAAGTAAGCATATTGTCAAATGACAATAGCTAACAACAACAGATTTAACAGAAATGTTGTATTCCAACATGAAATAATTTTTGATTACATGGTAGTATTATGTAGAAAACTAATATTTAAAACATATAGTTATAGAGTAACCATATTGTTATGAGAATAAGAGAAAACCATATCAAACACTGGTATTAATCATTCTCATTTATGAGAGTGTATGTATGAACTTTGCAGAGAGCAAAAAGATCTAAGAATTGAGGTAAATTCTCTTTTCTAGAAGTTTTGAGGTTTTATTTCAGAGTAACCCCTTAAAGTTTGTGAGAAGAGTTGAAAATTGAATACATCAATGTCCTTTGTTATCAAAATATTACTAAGTGTAAAATATTAGTTTAGGATACCATTGCTATTTTAACTGATATAATGTAATTTTGTTAAAATTATTTTTGTATGTAATATGAACTAAAATTTTAAATTTAGCATTCCTTAAGGTCTTAATTCAATTTTGTTCTTCTAATTCTAATTCTTAAATATTAGTACTAAATTCAATTTATAATACGTAGGCTACTTTTCTTCTCCTTTTTTGTGTTTTTGTTACTGACTGGAAATATCTCCATCCCAAGTTTCTCTCAATTCTCACATAATTTTACTGTGATTCAACAGGAGTTTGGTTCAATGCTATCCTGTCTGCCTTGTACCGATGTTCAGTGTCGAGGTCTGCTCCTCCCGGGGAACCCTCTGAAACCGAATTCTCCTTGGTTTTGTGGCTCTTGCTCTATGGAGGTTGGTAAATAAATTTAAAAAAAAATTATAGTTATATCGTTAAATGAATTTACTTATTAAAAGGCAATTACTTAAGGATGTCACCAGTGGTGTGGACGTAATATGTCCAGTGTGAGAACTGAGATGTGTTTTCTAACAATTAAATTTACCATTAGTGATATTTCGCTCAAGCTACACTCCAGCTGTGAAGTTATCTAAGTTTTCACTATCAAAACACGGTTGAGTATTTACTTCTGTCTCTTAATCTCGGGTACGTAAAAGTTAACAAACTTTGAGAGGCTGCTATTTCCAAACGAATCGTCCTTTTTACAGGCGGATTTGCGGCTATGTGTTTCTCTAACAAAGACCTTGAAAATGAGGAAATTCAACCTATATGCTTACATTTATGATTTTTGAGACTTCCGGCTCCACAGTATGTCCCCCCAAATCGAACAAATATGGTTTAAATGACCAAAAAGTCAGTAACTACACTGAGGGTGTAATTCTAGAGTTTCTTTGTTTTGCCTTAATTAATAAGAAAAATATTAAAGCGTTGTCAGACTTTTTGAAGACCTGGTATAGGATTAATGGAAAAAGTAGACTAGGAACTCTGTTACCCCGTTGTCCTCTTTCCTTAGAACATGCCCAGCCCATCTCTTCCTCCTGTTTAAACGTCCTCCTTTGCCTCAGCCACAACGTCCACGTCCAAATATAACCATCTCAACTATCAATGTGTACACAATATACATATGAATTGCTACCTTACTATTTTTAAAATCCACTTGCAGGTATCAGCCAAGCAGGCCGCCCAGTTACAGGCCGCCCAGGGTGGCTTGGTACAGACCCTCAGCTTGTCAGAACCACCCTCAGTAGCCCAGTTCCTCACTGACAGCTCACTCCCTCCTCAGAGCCAAGTCATAGTGCAGCTGAAGCTAGGGTTGGTTTGGCAGCTTGGCCACAAGCCTACCTTCACTTGGCCAGGTTTGTATTTATATTTGTCTTGTTATTTTCTTAGTTATTTTATTTTTTAGTTTGATAATTGGCCGATGTATGGCTTATGGGTTGACATAAGTTCTTGGAAGCCATCCCTACTAATCATCGTGTAGCTTAAGTCAACTGGAGAAAGAATTTAAAATTGTTATTCAATCAGTCAATCTACTGCTTATATCTGTTCACACCAACTGATCCATTGGGTGTAGGACAAGGAATCACACTTATCCACTTATCCCACTCTTGACAAATAAAACCTTTCTCAAGCTGTACATGCTTGTCTAAAATTAGAGGAATAAAAATCATATAACATTTTCTAGAACTCTCAGAAGATCTGCTGGACCTGAAAGTCAGATGCTGTAGAGACATTCTACATTTGTTAGAACTGCTTAATCTTGGAGAATGTCGCACTAAAGGTGAGGAGAAGAAAAGTTTAACTAAGTTAATTTATTGTTAATATAGTTGGCATCTGAGTGAAGAAAAGTGGGCAAAGAATATGACACTTAATTAATTACTCTGTTCCCTTTGAAAAGTAAAATGGTTTGCTATTGAAAAGAGCTCAATAGTGAAATGACCAATAAGTAAAGATATGGATTCAGATGAAATCTTTGTGTCAGCAACGGCGTTGGAATGCTTCATTTGGGGGTTTACAAGATTTAATTATACATTTAAGAATGCTGACTAAAAATTTTGGATTTGATATATTAATAATTAGTAACTTTTTCAGGACTTATTCTAATGGAACTACATGCTGCGCTGAGTGAAAAATATCGAAGATTAAAAAACTGTAATCAACAATGCCAGGTGTGTAAATACACCCAATAGTGTTGTACTGTAATTAAACAGTTAATACAACTGTATTCTTCATTTTCTCATAAAGTTTTGCATATCCGTGTACCTGCTGCAGAAGGAGTGATATTAATTTAATCCGGAAGAAATTAAAAGGATAAATTTATCCTTGAAATGTGCAGTTATTAAGATCAAGTGTACTACAGTAATAGTTTCACGACTCTGAACATCTAAGAACTGATGGGATTGGATTAGAGGAATTAAATGTAAATAACGCTGATACAATAGCGCATGTTTAGGAAAAATTAGTTAAAGATGTGTGTTAAAGTAATTAGGTGATACTGATATGTCCCTGAATAAGATCAACTATAGTTCGGCCACTTAGAAAGCAACCTACGCGCTAACTAATGCTAGAGGAGGTCGCTTTCTAAGCGGCCAAACTATAATTCTATAACCATACTCAAGGAAAGCTGGGTCAACAATTTGTAATAAAACCTGTCAAAGGCTTTTACACAAATGAAAAAATTAACAAAATCAAATTTTGTTAGCGTTGTTTATTGCTATAACTAATAAAATAAATACAGCTTGAAAAATAAATATTAGCTTTTAAATGAATATTTTGTTTGCAGGACATCAAAGATGAAGCAAAGTCAGTATTGAACGCTGCAATTTTCATTTTGGGACATGATGCAGCAGCACAGAAAGATTTGAAAATAAGATTGGAAGAGATGTCTCAAATGGCATAGGTTTCACCAGTCTATTCCGTGATACATTCCTGTGGTGCAATGTATATATACATCAGAGTAAAACGTCTAACTGAAAACTGAAACTGTCGCTTTCCTTGACCTCACTATTGCAAGGATGTATATGACTGTAATGGACTTCTCTAACGTTACTCCGTTCAAAAAATTTAGGCTGTTTTCTGGGAAGATTTACAGGGTGTTAATAGAAAACTTTACAACTTTAAGAAACCCCAAAACTTTTATAACAATCAAAGTCTAGGAAATCATTTCAAGTTTTGGTACATAATAAAGGAATTTACCTAACTTCAATTTACAATTATTTGAACGCAAATAAGTCTTCGGACCAATCACAAACCATAAAAAGAGTCAATTTATTTCAGCAAAGTTTAAATTTGAAGTTTATAAGCACGGAATCAAAGCAATTTCAGGATTCTGTATACGGTAGTGGTTTAGTGTGCTACTCTTCTGCCGCACATCTCATGGACTGTTCACAAATATTGGTTGAACACGACACACATCTTCCTCGCTAACTCGGGGTTGGCTGTTCCCTTTCTTGTGATGGATGGAAACTGACCTTTATTCATTCAAACTTATAATAACTAGAACCAAGCCCTAATTGTAGGACTTAAAGGAGGATTTCTATTGTATCTTGGCCAAAAACTCCGTTGAACAACATCATTCTTAGTTTCAAAGAACCTCTCCACACACACTGAGCTTTGATAGGACCTTCCATTTCATAAGAAAGTATTAAAAGAAAAGTATTGTGATTCTAACGAGACTCATCAAATTATTTGTTATTGTTTACCAAGCAACATTAAAATCAGCTGATAAAACTGCTACACTGATTTAAACTTGTTGAGCCTTCATGTGGAGTTTTTATAAAACTTTTATAAGTTACCTGATGGTGGGATGAACTTGAATGAGTTCACAAACAAGCGAGGAGATCGGGTCTTGGGAATGGGGTATTATGAGGGGGGGTAAAAATTATGTTATGGGGTAAAAATAGGTTTTTCTAATTTTTGACCCTCAAAATATAAAATTTTCCAATTTATCTCTAAACCATTTTGAAGAACTTAAAAAAACAAAGAATTAAGTATATTGAAATTTTTTGTAGAAAAATTGGTTACGGATTTTTTTTTTTTATTATTAAAAATTCCTATGTTATTCTTATGGAAAATGAGTAAAGGGTTGTAGTTTGCTTGTTCATAAAGATAATTTGATCAAACTCAAACAAATTATTTTACCCTTCCCTTTTCCCTTTATTGCGCTTCCTGTAGCATCAAACCTGGGTACAGTACTCGTTAAACATGATATCATATAAATAGATTTAAGTGAAAATCCAACCAGGCAAATGGAAATTCGTTCAGTCTGCAAGTTTGCTACAACAGGGGTATTTTCATAAACAGTAAGTTGTATTTGTAATAAAAATGAATACAAAAATTAATACCCCCGCCGCAGCAAACCTGCAGACTAAGCGAATTTCCATTTGACTGATTGGATTTACACTGAAATGTCTACTTAAAAATATAACATTTATTCTTGATTTAAATAGAATTAGTTTAACAAGTACTTAGGTTTGCTGCATCAGGGAGGGTAAAACTGTTTTTTTTTGTAAAATGTGAATAGTTAGTAAGAAATAAAAACATTTTCCAAATTTGATCAAAATATGTTCACAAACAAGCAAACTACAACAACAGTTTACTTATTCTCCATAAGAATAACATGGGAATTTTAAATTTACAATTTTTTGGAATTTTCTCCGTAACCATTAGGCGCATAATAACGCTTCAATATACTAAATTATTTGTTTTTTAAGCTCTACAAAATGGTTTGGAAAGAAATTGCTAAATTTTATGTTTTTTTGGGTCAAAAATGGGAAAAACCTATTTTTACCCCATAAAACCCCCCGTAAACCCCCGTTCCCATGGTCCGATCATGCTGGATCGCGAACTCGTTCGAATAAACGTACGTTTACACGTTTGTACCAAATTTCATCAAAATCGGATCATTTTTGCTCGAGTTATCGCGCTGACGGACACATATATATATATATATAAATATACATATATATATGAATTTGAACGGATGGTGTTTTTGGCCTCTAGGGACCTCAAAACGAAAAAAAATTCGGTCCCGGGTCCAGGTCTTACCATGAGTACTACGGTAATAGCTTATTCCCTATATGGGAAATTCGCTAAAACCAAATTAAAGTAATCAATTGCTCCAAATAATGTCAAGAGCTTAAGCGTTTGGAAAAATGTTGTTTTAATAGCAACTGATGAAACAAATAGCACCTTTTGACCTTCCATGTGTTTCTTACGAGTACTGGGAGACCGATCTTTGCTCGGATTTAATAAAACATTTATTATAAACATAAGTTAATTATTGAATCGAAACATTTGCAAACTTTCTCATTGCCCAGTAAGTAGCATTTGGATAATTTTATTGTTTATCTTTACAGTTTCAGCATTAAGGACAGCAAGGATTGCACAGTATTTCAAATTTTTTGAATATTTTCCGCTAATACTTATTCAAATGCAAAATACTTATTCAATAAAATATCTCTAATCAGGCGATGTAGCGACTTTAAAGGTTTGAGGGATTTCCGACTTCACTGCGCTGACGTCGAGCTCTCGAGCAGCGATTCGTCGACCATCCTGCTCAAAATGATCAGCCTGTTGTTCATCATATTGCCCGGCCATACGGTCTGAAATTATTTCAATACTTTCATTCTTCGATGCATGGCTTGGCTGAGGTTCTGATACATTAGGTGAGATGTAAGAGCTAGTTGGATCTAGTTTGGTTGTGAACGAATTGGTAAAATTTGTTCCTCGATGATTGATTCTAGCTTCTCTCCCTTGCAAATTCTGTAAATATTTTCGCTCTGGAAGTCTTACGCGTTTCATTTTTAATCTTAAAAATTAACGTTGAAAACATTTAACACTATATGTGCCTACTAAACTAACTTAATACAACTATTGTTTTAAATGTTTATCTAACCAATGCAGTTATTTTTGTTTACACAACAAATTAAATTATGTCAATAAAAGTAACCTGAAACAGCTGTTTTGTTAACACTGCCACTACAAAAAGGGTTTGACGATAACATGGGTACTTTCAAGGGCTGCGGAAAAATGGATTTTTCCCAGCATTTGTGACCAACTCTAGTCGATTTCTAATGGCCAAATACCCCTTATTCAAAAAAAAAATTAAAAAATTCTCAGACGAAATAAAAGTTTACCCCTACACGCTTGTTTTAGAGTATAGAATTATACTTTTATGGAAGACACTACAGTAATTTATGTGCATATACAGGGTACCCATGCAAAGTGTTTGAGGTTTGGTTAAACGTTGCCGTTTATGGACCAACAGTTTTAAAATTTAACACAATCTATTGAATAGACCGTGGCCATAGGGAGCACAGAAAAACGCAATAACAATTATTTTTAAGGTCACCGCAATGAACACTGTGGAACCTTAACAGTAACAATGAAATATTAATAGTGGCCACAGTAAAACATTGAAATCAACAACCAAACATCAATGTAGCCAAGCCAAATGGTTACCGTCAACAAAAAAACTTTGAAAAGTTTGAAGAAGTGAAAGAAATATGACGTATTGCCAGAGTTTTCTTTGTAAGAGTATCAAATTCGATCTGATGCATTACATCAGTCTATTTGACATTTGTGTCACTTTTGACAAGTCTTTTATAGGTCGGCTGGATAGATAGCGACCTGTGCAAGGATTCTGCTGCTTTCTAAGCGGCCGACATACAGGTGTGACGTCATGGTAGAGATCAACACTATTCTCAATCACTGAGTATTTAATATTTGCTCGTATGCTACAATTCAAACAAATGATACAAATTATTTTTAAGTCGATTCCTACTACGATTCCTACTAGAGTGAATGTAAAAAATGTCTTACCGATGGAATTGAGGGATTCATCTAGTTGGGATTTCAGAGTATTCCACAGCTGTTTACCTTTTTGGATTTTGATTGGTATAAGCTGAGCAAATGGTACAGAAAAGCAGAGGATTACAAAAAAAGAAAATACACAAAAACTTGCAAACAACGACATGCATAATTTACTCCACTTGTCTCAAGGTGTTGGTGGAATTTACAAGAGTGGATTTCAAATGTTTTTAAGGGTTATGGCTGACAATTTATTAGACAAATGGAAAATACCGTACAGTTTAGTAATTAATTGGAGATGAAGAACATAGTGTAGTTTTTAAGAGCAACAAGCATGTGCCTGAGACGAACAAGAAATGGCGGTCAGCGAGAAAATTTGAAGATGAAGCTGGGATTCTTAATTAGTTTTTTTTTTATTTGTCAAAAATATTGTTTAACTCTAATTTTCCCATGTTTTTTCTGTTGAATTTCCACTGTGATAAATACAGCTTTCTAACTTCTTCCAACTCCAGACCATATGAGAGTAAAGACTATGTTATTTTGAACATTCTGCTTTTTTAGACAACAATTATCAAAGCGTGTAAATATAACACTGCTTTCAAATTTGTATTATAGGGTATCATCTACAGGCTACTGTCCAACTTTCACCCACACAGTAATAAGCCACACAGCTATATTTATAGCGCCAAAACTTGTTGAATCCAAAGTGTAAATCTGTCTTAACTGAAAATCAATGCTTAGGTGAAGTGGGGATGAGGGGAGGGAAGTGAAGCCTCAAAAGTGAGCTTAGCTTTCCAACTGTCAGTTGAACTTAGGGGGCAAACAGCGCTGATCTCTGACCTGGCCCGACTACTGCACACATTCGTCTTCTTCTTAACCCACATCGGCATGGACCAGATGGCGTACATCTTTGGGAGTTTCTCCCGACGGAGACAGTCGTCGGAATCTAAAGGTGCCCCAAAACGAAGGTCTGTGGATGTCTCTCCTCAGCCATTCTCTTCGCTGCGGAGAACTAAGTAAGTTCTAATTTTGTTAAGTTAAGATGTCAAAAACTGTTTCGCTGGTGTGTAAATCAAAATTAAAAGATTTTAATCTACATTTTGCAAACATTTACACAAATTTGCTAACTTTCCCGGTGAGTCAACCTTATAAGAACTGGACTCAAACTAGAAAACCCACAAAAACCTACCCTTTTTGTAAATGTTTTTGACACCACTCTATGTGTGATACTATTATCATCACCACTACTTTTGAGTCACCAACGCCACCTATACTCCATTCCACATTTGCCTTATAGTTCAGATCTTATGCGAGATCGGAAACCTCATGTTTTTGTCATGCAGAGGTGTTGACTTCCTTTTGACCCTCCTGAAGATGCTTAAGAGCATTTGACTTATTTATATCACTTTTGTTTTTTAGAGATCAATATTTTAACTAAATTAAATGATATACCGGTATTGACTTTGGTTAAAGTTAAAATTTTACATATTCAAAGATTAGTCATTTAATCAGTCATTGAACAATAAATTGTAATTGCCATTGTTATCATAGCAAAAGGATATAAGCTGCAATAGGCTACTAATTAGTAAGGAGAAGGTAAAAGTTAATGAGCGTATTGTGGGTCCTGACTTGTTTAGGAGGACAGCTAGTCTTGCTGAAACTTCCATCTTTTTTTGGAAGTTAAGCATTTGGCTTAGGAATATATTTTTGAAGAATGAATGGATACTCAACTAACCTACCTAAGAAAAGAGTTCTAGTTACAGTAAATGAAACTTGAAAGCACACAAAAAGGTTTAGAACACAAATTTACAAGTTAAAATACAATAAGTCTATGTGTTGTGGAACTTGTTTATACTTTTATTACTTACTTAATACTTTTCAATGAAATAGTGTTTGTGTGCTTCCAAACAACCAGGAACTCTTTCTTTAGAAGTGAGTGAGTTGTGTATCCATTCCCTTTCTTCATGAAACTTCAGTTTAAGGCTTTTGTACACTCTTTACTGTACGGTGCATTTTTAAGCTGAATTTGTTATGAATGTAGAATTGAGTGAGTTGATTGGTGCAGCTTTTTATTTAAGCCAGGGAAATTTTATTAAAGCCCAATGATCAAAAATAGCTGGGTTTAATTTCAAATCATCAAAAGCTATACTGATGACTTTTCTTAGGATCGAACGGCGAACTGAACATAACTACCTATTTGTAAACTAGTTTGATTGTCTTCTGTTAACAAATTACCTTTTAACCTTTTATGCTTAAAAGTATATCTCATAAAAGTCACTTAGGTACGAAGGTGACCACATTTTTTGGCGCATTTTAAAACCTGAATATGAATGTATGATCATTGTAGAATGGAGAGAGATAATCTGTGTAGCTTTGTTACTGCCTATGATCAGCTGTCTTATTGACCAAGATCATTTATTGAAAGCCCAATGATCAGGACAGCTGGTCAGTTTCAAAATAAAAACAACTACTGACAATTAATTATTTCTCAGTGAAGCTAGCAAACCTTCTGATTCCTACAGTAGAACCTCTATAACAAAGATTCTCATGGGGATTGTGAACTAAGACTTGTTATCGTGGTTGACTTCTTATCGATGGTTGCAATTGATTGATTATTGGAGTAAAATAAGATGGGATTTTAAAATGAGACTTCAAGGGTGACTCGTTATTCAGGTTCTTGCTATTAAGGTTCTCTTGTATACAAGTTCTGTTAGGACTACCCATAGCTATGCTATTTCAATCTCTCACTTGCAGTTGTTTATCAGGGTTCAGATATCTGCTGAAGACCATCGCATGTTCAACTGCAAGGTTTGTGATCGTCAGCTGGTTGAACCTAGAGTACTTCCCTGTCTGCACACATTCTGTACAAGATGTCTTCTCCCCATCACTCAGAGTGAGTACAAAAGGTCAAAGTTTCAAGATAAAATACCCCCACTGCAGCAAACCTGCAGACTAAGTGAATTTCCATTTGACACTAGCCCACTATATGATTTCTGCCTCGTAGAACTATGTGCTTTTTCGATAAAGAAGTAGCGAGAGCTGCCCATATAGATGGGGTGTCTACTTCAGTTTCCATAAGTCAATGGTATAAGCCCTCTGGAGTCTTTAACTGTTTGTCATGTTGGTTACAAAATAACAAAGAAAATGTGGACAAAATAATCATTGGGCTCATATAAATAAGTTAAAATACAACTGCTAAACAGTAAAAATGTTGACAGATTATAAAGGGTTTAGAAATAAATAGGAATGAATGAATGAGTAGATTGTAGATTCCCTCTTATCCGGAAGTAGGTACGTTTTAACTGGACATCACTTTAACCAGACTACATGTACTTAGAAATGACAATAACTATTAAAGCCCGATAACTTTTCTCTAAAAAAATATTCGAGTCCAGTGATCACGTGTCTATAAATATAATGCTCTCCCAAATTTAAATTTGGGTAAGAACTCATAAAATCCACTTTTTGTGACTGGAAAGACCATGAAGCCACGTGCATCGAAATAAATATAAACACATCATCTCTTCCTTTACACTATCGTGCGTAAAAGTCAGCAAGGTTTTACGCGACGTTGGCTTAACTGGAAAACCCACTATCCGGTTTGGCCTGCTGCGTCCCTAGGAGACATATCTAAGGATCTAGGATACAGCGGGAGTCTACTGTATAATATTAGTACAGAAATCACTGGGAGCGAGGAATATTTTTAGAGAATACACTAGGTACTGAAGTTGAGCTAGACTCCAAGGTACTTGAGATCAATAACACATATGTATACCTACAAAAATAATAAAAGTCCATTGGTAATTAATTTGATTGTACTCAATGCCAAAAACAGTTTATCAAAATGCTATCACTGACTTATGTTATGTACTAATAAAACTAAATTGCACCACTTAACTTCATTCAATCTTTATAGCAACTTAGCAGACGCACAGGCACAGCCTATGTCTGCTAATTCCAGGACTAATTAGATAGGAACAACCTTTGACACATGTATATAGTTAATTATAGTTATAGTTAATTAGTTTAGTTTTGCATAAAACCCTTTTTTTCTTTTGTACATTTGGTTGTGTAATTTTATATATGTGGTGGAATAAATTCATAATTCATTCATTCATTCATTCATTCAATTCATTCGTTCATTCATTCATTCATTCACTCTCTTCACTGAAACAAAACCCCTGAATGTTCCACGAAATGTATGATCACAAACTTTATTTTCACGATTGCAGTAAATAATACGATTGTTTGATGATCTCTGTTATCAGAGAAAACCATAGAAGCAAATCCCTTTGCAAGATTGAAGTGTATATTTAAACAGTTGCACAATGGTCAGTTCGCTATCTGTAGAAGCCCTTCAACAGAGAGGTACCACATCAGCTTAACTCAATTGTCAGCCGTTTCCACTCAGCAAATCAATACCACTGTCATATTTCTGAAATATTATCTAAGAGAGGGTATAGGTTTCACAAACACATTTAGTCAATCCAGTTTACACTAGGCTTGCGAAAATTATGTAATGTCTCGGTGGGTCTTGTTTTTATATAAAACTAGTGTAGCTTTTGCAGAAGAGGTTTAATAAAATACTAAAGGTTAATAAAAATCCTCTAAAGTAATGTAAAATACGTAATAGTGTTACTATTGATTACAATTTTAATCAAGGTAATCAATGGGGTTACCCTATATTTATGTCAATAACCTCAGGAAAAGTTTTACGAAAAATAATATTTGGTTTAATTCAACCAAACAAATGGCAGTGTTACTATTGAACATATACACATATGTGTATAGATGTCTCAAAATGGTGTTACCAAGCATTCAGAAAGCAAAAACAGAGTAAATATAAACATTTTAGCTATTATTTTTGTTGCTATGGAGCCCACTGAACAATTTACTTACAAAAAAAGCTTCACCTCAAAAGTCTTTGGTAGGGGGAGCGAGCTGATCTAGTTGTTAGACCGTGGGACTTTGGTCCAAGAGGTCCCGTGTTCAAATCCCGCCAAATCCCCCAATTGATTTTATCTAAGTGATAATGCCGCAACCCCTAGGTCTAACAGGTGAAGTATTGTGAAAAACAATCCCAGGCTCAGGACAAAAAAAAACCTACAAAAGCTCAAAGCTCTGAGGAATTTAAATTTATATTTATATAACTTTCCCCAGACCTGCTTTGGGTGGGTTCCCACTCACAGCAATCAGATGAATAAAGAACATGCATCCAAAGACACATATATTTAATTTTATGGTTAACGATATGGGAGGGGACAAGTGATTCTAATTATTAATATTAAAATATTAATAATTAGAATACAGCACTTCCGACATAACTTCCGATAGATTTTGTCCTTCTCCAGAAAAACGTGTCTAGGAAAAAGACATTAAATATTTACCAAAATTGGACGTGTAATAAAAGTCACGGATTTATATAAATTAAAAAAATCAATGTAAATACATTTAAATAACGTTCTGTATTATTTTAAAGAATGTATAGTTTTTGTGTATTTAATTAAAATTTCAATACTACAACACTGATAGAATCTTTTATTTCTACATACCTATATAAAATTATTAAAATTTCAATATAAAAAAAACTTTATTGCATGATTCTGCAAATTTTTTACTGCTTTATGTTGTACCATTGTTGTACTTAAACAAAATTCTATATTTGTATTTGATGACGGATTGGGAGAAGTAGCCCTAGCTTCCGTTGAGTTTTAGTTTATTAATTATGGTACCTAATTTTCTAAAAATCAAGTTCAGCCAAAATATATTTTATAATAATTTAGTAAAAACATATTTGCATATGTTTTACACTCAAAAATAGATCTTGCATGCTCCTATGTGACTGATATTTTCCGAAGAGCTGCCGGGTTAACCAAGAAAGTTTTTACACTAAAAAGAGCCCATTTAACTATGAAATTTTATGTTCCCGTAGCTTCCCAGAGCCAAACCAAGATCCAGGCAGAGACCAAAGGAGGAGGAAGTGGAAGGTTAGGGGGAGGAAGTCTCAATGGTTCCGGATCTGGTTCGGGGTCCGGTTCCGGAGCATCTGGATACGAAAGTGAACCGAGCAGCTGGTCTGGAACTGACCCTAGTGATCAGAATGGCCAGGTAGGTGATATACGAGTATATACTGTATTTTAAGAAGTATAAGAGTTAATCTAGACTTTGATTGACCATTGATTGAAGTCATTTTGTGTTTGTTGACATGTGTAGCAGAAATTTGAAACTATTTGCTACAAATTTAACATAAACAAAGAGAGATTTACAAGGATCCAGATATAGTGTGTGAGTTAAAATGTAGAAGGATAAGATTGACTGTAAATATTTTCATTTTGTGAAAAGGGATGGCAGTAATCTCAAATTAGTAACAAAATAAAAAATAACTATAAAGGAGGACTGAAAGTAAGGGTTGCAAAAATGGTTGAGCTAAAGCTAGGGTTTTCCTATTTGCAAACCTAAAACCACTTGCACCCCTGAATTTTTAACTTTCTTACCAGTTAAAGGGTATAATGTTATAAGTAAATTCTATGAGTGCTAATAAATTTTAAAAATTTCAGCTTCAGGTGGTCATTTGTCCTCTGTGCAAATCAGAAAACAAACTGCCGAATGGAGGAATTTCCGGCCTTCCAATAAATTACGTTTTACAAAATCGAATCCTGCAATCGATGCAACAAGCTCCTACGTGTGACATATGCATTACTGAGGCTCCTGTAAGTAACTCTTGCTACTGGTATTTATTACTGTACTCTAAAAATTTTTAAATAAACCATCCAAATATGATTAGACTAACCCTCTGATAAGGGAATCATGTTTATGATATACTAAAAGTAGTAATTAATTAAAATAGTAACATTTTGTTTGTATAAAGTTTTTTTTTTGATATAGGGATTGTTTTGTTGATTGAAAAAAGGAATCAAATACATATTTTTTTATATTTTACTATTAGAAGAGTTACAAAATTGAGCACAATCTTAGTCATCTCCTCAACATATTATGTAAAGCCATTTCAGGTGTATGATTCTATTTTTAACATTTGTTGCGGTTCGTACCATACTAAATTTTCTGGTATTCAAACAGATATATTTTGAGTTACTGTGCTTAACAGATTTTTGACACAAAATCGTCAAATCTGGTAGGTATGTACACAGTTAAATTAAGCATTTTTCATTCATACAAACCAGGAGGCTGATCCATTGTGTAAAATAATAAACCCAGCTTTGTACAACAATTTACTATTGGTAGAAGTTAAACAGCAATAATCACTACTGATATGGTACTGTATACTGAAAGTTTTTACGTAGAGTCTGACTTTATTCCTTCACTGTTTGCAGGCGTCCAACAGATGCCAGGATTGCCAGGTTAATCTGTGCAGTTTTTGTTGTGAAGCACATCTCCGTGAGAGAGTCAGTGCCCATCATGAGATTACCTCTCTCAAAGATGTTGCGGATGCTGCGTTATTCCGCAGACAGGTATCCGTAATTTATGTTTCTGTCAGTTAAATTATTAGTCAAGAATATACATTCAATGGTACACTTAAACTTAAGTGTGTCTAGTGGTGTCTAGTACCAGTCACTGGTGTCTAGAGCCAAATTCTATTTTGTTGTCCCCTCTCCTTTCCCTCCTGGCCATCAGGTACTACTGCTCACGTGGTAGGAAGACCCTGTGTACTACAACAAATAAAATATGCCATCTTTCTAGTTTGACACTAGTACATTTCCGCCCCAACATACCACAGCTAAAAGCGCATGCTAATGGTAGTCCCATAAGCTTGTTTCCTCTTTATCGTACTTCTCTATTGTTGTACGTACTTTAAGTTATACTATGTTAACTTAGAATTACATAGAAAAACAACTGTAGTAAATTAAATTGATCTCAATATTTAACCAACTTGTTGGGATTTGTCAAACTCACTTATAAAAATGTCTTGCTTATGTATATGGCTCACGACTCTTTCTTTGAGTCACTATCTGTTTTACACTTTTACTTTCACAACCATATTGGGTGAACACAAAGTAAAACCCGTTCATAATTAATTAAACCTTTATTAATAAAGAATCTATTCTGTCATGCAGGTTATGTGTGATGCACACCCTAACAGAGAACTACGTCTGTTCTGCGGGCGCTGCGGTGTGGTGGTGTGTCGGGACTGCTGCGTATTGCTGCACAGAGGCCACCCGTGTGACACAGCTGCGCGGGCTGCGCGACTGTACGCAGCCACTCTACGCGATGCACTTGACAAAACCAGGCCGATCGCAAAAGAAGCAAATCTCAGCCTCAATCGTCTACAGCACCTTGAACTGAGGATTAAGGTAACTCATTCAAATTTGGCCAATGCCAGTTAAGAGTAGGCCTTGGCTACTTTGCTTATTTGGTTCTCTGGTATTTTGAGGTTAGATATACAATTTGTATGGGTCATGAGATGCTTGGATATTTATTTTTTTATAGTAACTTTGTCAAACATGCTTGTAGGACGATTTTTCCAAAGAATAGGTTTTGTATTACATAAAATGTTAAATAGAACTCTTTCAATATGCTTAGAGGATTCAATTTAACCTCCATAAATTTCTACAATGATTTTTTACATCACAAGTAGGATTAAGTATAAAACTGACATAAGAATTTCTTAAACATGACTTGAGTTTCCAGATAACACTAAGATTCAGAAGCTAGACTTAAACTTAATATTTAACATTAAACAATACTTAACAATACTTAACATTAAAATTTACTCTTAAATGTTAGCTAGCTGGGTGCTTATTATATACAATATTTTTTTACATTTTTAGAACCGCTGCGCTGAAGTGGAGTCAGAAGTAGACAGATACGCCGAATCATACAAAGCTGCGGTTGAGGAACATCGAGCAACTCTTCGTAAAGAAGTTAACCAGGTTTGTTTGTATAGATATGAATAGTTTAGGGGGTGATGATCATTTAAACTATTCTTTCTTAGTTTTATGTCTTACTCTTATAGCAAAGTATTTGACCCACCAGCCACCACTGATTTAATGAATACCTAGGTTGGATGCTACAGGGAAAAAAGAAGTGTTCCTTCTCCTTGAATGTTTTTTTTTTTTTTTCACAATACTATACAAGTTGTTAAAAGTCAAAAATGGAAAGAGAAATAGACTAGATAATGAGCAGAAAATAATTTAATTATTCACAAAAGAAAAGTTACTCAATCATAGTAAAATGCTACCAAACAATACTATTCCTGTAATCACAACATAACAATTCATTAAAAATCATATGTGTCAAAATTATAAAAGTTCATATTTTCATAGCAGCTGGAAAAGACAATACAAAATATAAACCATAGATTATTTAAATCAAATGTTTCTATACTATATCCAACATTCTCCCACCTTTTGACTTGTAAAGTCAAAATATTAATTATCGCTTCAGGTATCTTCGTGGGAGTATAATTTTTCTTCCTCTTTGTGTGTAAACAGGTTGATCATGTTCACGACCAACACCTTCAGCTACTTGTTCGTCTTCCATTTCGAATGTTTCATTACCATCTTGATTGTCTTTCTGCTGGACCAATTCAAGTGGAAACACATGTTGTATGGGTCTCAGCACTGTTCCTTTTGATGTTTTCATTTCCACAATACGTATGTTGCCATCTTTACCAGGAAGTATCTTCTCAATCTTCGCCAAAGGCCAGTCCATCCGTTTGGTATTGTCGCTTCCAAGTAAAACAATTTCTCCAACTTGCACTTGACGAGATTTCTTCTTCTTCTTCGAATGCAACACCAATTGACTTAAGTATTCACTTCTAAATCTTTTTTCAAGATCTTCTTTTAATTTTAATTTAAAGTTCCAACGACGAGACAAATTTGTGTAGTTGATCTGGTCCAAATCAATAACTCCATACTCCTTCGTACCATTCAAAAACATAGCTGGCGTCAAAACTTCCATGTCATGGCTGTCTTCTGAAATGTAAGTCAAGGGTCTACTATTTATGACAGATTCACAACTGCACAAAATGGTCAAAAATTCTTCATAAGTCAAACTAGCTCTTCCTAAGACTCTGCGAAGAAGCTGTTTCAATAGTCTTATGAGTCTTTCCCACCAGCCTCCCCACCATGGTGAGGCAGGTGGGTTGAATTTCCATTTTATACGTTTGATTGTGCTGTACTCAACAATCTTATTCCAATCGATTTGCTTCAACGCACTGTAAGCTCCTCGGAAGTTAGTGCCGTTGTCTGCAAACAAGACTGTTGGTCGACCCCGTCTGGAAATGAATCTTCTCAAACTTTGCAAGAATGACTCAGTCGATAATGAAGTAACTAACTCCAAATGCACGGCACGGTATACTGCACATGTATATAATGTAATCCAAGCTTTTTGTCCATCTCGAAGGAAAACAGGTCCAGCTAAGTCAACTCCACAGACTTCAAAAACAGAAGCATCTCGAACCCGTTGCGAAGGAAGTGGTACTGGATCAGTATCCAAACTTTTAACACAATATCGCTTGCATTTGACACATTTGTCAATAACTGATTTTACAGTTCTTCTCCCACTAATAATCCAAACTTCTTCTCTGAGTATAGATAACAATCCTTGGACTCCAACATGTGAATTTTCTTCATGTTTGTATTGTATGTATCTGTGAACAACAGGATGTTTACCCGGCAATACTATGGGAAGATTAAAATTTCTACTATCAGGTCTCTCTGTGATTTTCGTTTTTAACCGGAATAAGCCATCACTGTCTTCAAACGGACACAATGAGCTCAACTTTTCATCCTTGATACTATGGAAAGCGTCTTTCTGAATAAGTTTAAACACTTTATTTTGAGCCTTAAACAATTCATCAACCGACAATTCTCCTGATATCTTTTGATTAGACATATTTGTGTTAGAACAAAATCTCAAAATCCAGCCTACCAATCTGACGATTTTATCAAATCTGTAGAAATATCTGTAATACCAACAATCTGGTTCAGGTTTTGAATTCATCATAATCTTTGTAGTTGATTTAATCTTCCTAAGTTCAGAATTTACTTCTTTCTCATCACAATCATCACTGAAGTTTTGGTTAGGCCACAAGTTTGATGAGTTTCTTAGCCATTGTGGTCCCTCCCACCATTTCGACTCTACTAGCTGTTTAGGAGAACATCCACGTGACGGCAAATCAGCTGGATTCATATGGCCTGGAACGTGATTCCAAGATTCAATGTTACTAAGGGATCTTATTTCCTTTACTCGGTTCCAAACAAACACTCCCCAGTAATCTTCTCGACGAATCCATGACAAAACGGTGGTTGAGTCGGTCCAATAAAATGTTTTGACATTTTCAAATCCCATACTCTTTAAGACGTTGTCAGTTAGACGAGCGCCAATAGTAGCCGCCAATAACTCCTGTCGAGGAATAGTCATCTTCTTGACAGGTGCAACTCTACTCTTTGCTTGAACTAATTGAACTGTGACAAGTCCATTAGATTCACCCCTCAGGAAAACTGCAGCCGCATAAGCGTCCTGGCTTGCATCACAAAAACAGTGAACTGTCCAAGAAATATTCCCTCCGATTTCATTTCCAAAATATCTTGGAATTTCCAAATTTGAAAAAATCTCAAGTTGCTTTGCCCAATCTAAAAACAAAATTTTTATCTCTTCTGAAACTTTGTCATCCCATCCAATTTTACTTTCCCACGTTTTCTGCAGCAATATCTTAGGCAAGAGTGTAGCAGGACAAGTTATACCTATGGGGTCAAACAACTTGTGAGCAAAAGACAAAATAGATCTCTTTGTGACTATTTCAGTTTCTTTAAACGCAAAGTTTTCAAAATTCAACTCAATCATGTCAGTATTTTTGTTCCAATTTAAACCTAAGATAGGTGTCAAGGTAGAATCATTTTTGAAACTCTGAATTTCTGTGTACTCCCAACTCCGGAGACAGAATCTAGCATCTTTCATTACAGAAGTCGCTTGATCTACAAATTGATTCAAATCTGAAAAGTCATCAAAACTTGCCATACAATTATCTACATAGAAACTTCTCGACAGTGTCTCTACTACTTTTCTTGAGTAGTTTAACGATCCTGAATCTATCAAGTCTAATGTTTTTTCTAAATGAAGTTTGATTACTGCACTTAGCATAAATGGGCTACAAGTAACTCCAAAGACTACTCTAGCGTGTCTGTAAACAACCAATTGACCATCTTCATTAATCCACAAAAAACGAAGAAAATCTCTATCGTCCTTATGTACACCAATCTGTAGAAAAGCCTTCTCGATGTCAGCAACAACTCCATATCTGTGTAGTCTAAAACGATTTAATATGGACGGAATCAATTCAATAAGGTTGTCAACTTTTTCTAGACAATCGTTCAACGAGGGCTGATTCTTTTCTTTAGCAGATGCGTCAAATACAGGTCTCAATTTCGTGGTAAGACTGTTTTCTTTTATCACATGTTGATGCGGTAGGTAGTGACCAATTTCCAAATCGGCATCGTTAACCTTCTCTATGATACCTAATTCCTCCCAGTCAGACAACACCTGTTGATATGAACTAAGATATCCACTAGAATTAAGTTTATTTGTAAGATTACTGAGTCTCTTCTGTGCTACTTTTAAATTAGTAGGTAACGGCGGGTGATCATCAACCCATGGCAATTTGACCTGATATCTGCCATCATTTTCCACTGAAACAGATTCTACAAAATGTTCCATTGTTCTACTTTTAACTGAAGATTCACTCTTTACCTCCACTGGATCCTTGATTCCTAAAACATCCAAACTCCACAAATCTGAAATGGATTTATTATGAATAGGGGTCAGTAAAGAAGTTACTGCCATAGAACTGGACCTGTCATTCCCTTCAACTGTGGTTCTTCCCATTAAAGTCCAGCCCAACAAAGTGTGCATCGCAACTAACCCGTTGGAAAGCAGATATCGTCTCTCAGTGTAAAGTTTCCCTGCAACGTCTGCACCTATCAGAACTTCAATAGGTCCGTCTCCATCTGTTACATTAACTCCCAATGCTCCAAGCTCAATGGACCAAGGACCAGGCTTAACTGATGTAACATCGTTACAGATTATATCTTGATCAAGAACGTCAAAATTGCATGCATAACTGTTATTTAAGTCACTTAGTCTAACCTTATAACACGCATGTTCAATTGTTTCAGTACTAGTGCCACCAAATAAAGCATGAGCTAGCTTCTCCTTTCTGACTATGTCGTAGCCAAATTCCTTTGCTGTATTTTTCAAAATATAAGATCGTTGTGATCCCGTATCTATTAAAGCACGTGCTGTTCGCTCTCGATTTTGGTTTCTAATTTTTACTAAAAAGGTTTGTAAAAACACTTCTGTGTGAACATTGTTTGCTAGAGAACTTTCTTTGCCTGGTTGTTCACTCAATGAACTTCCTTCTGCAGCAGATGCCCTACACATAACAGCGGTGTGCCTCTTTCCACAGATGGGACATTTTACTCTAACTTTACATTGCGCACTCCTATGACCATACTTCAAGCAAGTAAAACAACAACCATTTTTCCCAACGATTTTCACCTTCTCATCTACTGTCAATTTACTGTCTTTACAGTTTTCAGCTAAGTGGTTAGAACCACAAAACATACATTTAACGTCTTTAGTATTTAACTTATCAGACTTCGTTGGGTTAACTAAACCAGCAGCTGTCGGCATCATTTCAGTATGTCTGGCGTAACTAGGCTTAGGTCGAAATAGGCCTACAGTAGATTTACTTACTTTAGGCTGTAGGTTAGGTCGCTTCCTATTTTCAAAACCAGATGCGGCTAGAGTACCGTAATCCTTTCCTCGTTAGCAACCTCCTTTTGCAGAAACTTCATCAAACCATCAAGTCTATCCTTAAGTTCAGCATCAACTTCATAGCCGGAGTGACGCTGCCAAGCTCTCAACAGTTCCTCAGGCAAACAAGACTCTATAAGAGGATATAACATAGCAGAACATTTGTCAGTTGTTACTCCTAATGTCTCCAATGCTCTTAGCTGGGTTTCCAGTTTATCGTAAATGCAAGAAACTTCTACCTTACTGTTTAAATTACTCAGAACTAACTTCAAAAGCTCTCTAATATACACTTCTATGAGAAGGTCATCTCTACCAAAACGACTTTTAAGACTTTGCAAAGCTTTTGAATAGTTCTCAGCGGTAGCAGGATAGCTTTCGACCAGCTGACGAGCCCTAGAATTAGCTAAAGTAGCCTGCACAAGATAATGATATTTATCAATATCGTCAATATTCTCGTCATCATCTATTCTTTTGAATTGTGCCCAAAAAGGTAGCCAATCCTTCAAATCCCCGCTAAACTTTGTGAATTCAATAGTAGGTAGCCTCAGCTTAGTCCTAACAGCAGTAGATTTACTCATTACAGACCCATTGGAATTAGGTGAAGTGGCCCTAGCCCTAGACCTAATCAATCTACTCTGTACAGCTAAACTAATTCGATTAAACTTCTCTACATATTCATCTGCTAGCCTAACTTCTTCATCTAACTCTTCTTCATCTGCTCCAGAATCAAGTAAGAAATCCAAAATTTCCCTGTCTAAAGCTTTTAGTTCTTCTATCTTACCTTCCAGAGAGCTCAATTTACCCTGTATAGTGTGTAGGTCTTGCTCATCTTTGCATAGCTCCTCATTTATTCCATTATAAATTCTGGTAAATGCTGTTCTGAAGGTTTTTCTTAGTTTCCTATTTCTTTCCATTATCTCAATAGTGACTATCTAGTTAAGAACTCATACAGTCCTGTCACGGTCGCCAAATGTTAAAAGTCAAAAATGGAAAGAGAAATAGACTAGATAATGAGCAGAAAATAATTTAATTATTCACAAAAGAAAAGTTACTCAATCATAGTAAAATGCTACCAAACAATACTATTCCTGTAATCACAACATAACAATTCATTAAAAATCATATGTGTCAAAATTATAAAAGTTCATATTTTCATAGCAGCTGGAAAAGACATTACAAAATATAAACCATAGATTATTTAAATCAAATGTTTCTATACTATATCCAACACAAGTTTTAATATTGTTTGACAATCATAATATGTTTTCTAGGTTCGTAACAATAAGCTGACTACACTTCATTCTCATCACGACGAGCTTCAAACACGTTCAGAACACACGAGCCACGCTGTCACTTTTGGACAGGAACTGCTTGCAGAAGCTTCGGATGTAGAGGTAATAAACTCTACATGCTTGTGTCATTGGCTGTACAAACCTTAGAAATTGATATTTTACACCCAGCAAAGCCCATATGAATAGGTAACTTAAATAGGTATGTACCGCTAGGTGTATATTGATTAAATGAATACCCAGATGAACATAACTATTTTTTCCATCTTCATATTTTTCTATTGGACTGATTTTATCAAATTATGGGAATTTAGTGTGCTCATAAACCAGCATACAACCAATAATGTTTTAAAACAGGAGGAACCTATAACTTGTTTAATTAATCTAAAATTAGAAAAACTCATTTAATTTATTTTGGCTATGAACAATGGTGGATAGTTGTTTCCCCCCTCGGTTTTGTTATTTAAGTACTTCTGGAAATGAATGTTTCTGTCAATAATCTACTATTACGCTTGAAAGGTGTGATACCGTATCCAGTTATACCCAACAAAAAATATGGATTTTTGTAAAGTAAAGCAAGGTTGTTTTGATAAAAACACTGTGTAGTTGGTTTTCATCAAGATTGATTTAATTTATTCAATCCCCCAAAAATATTTATTCCTACTACAATTTTATGTAGATTAACACTTTGAAATTTCTGCAGAAAATAAAATAATTTATTTTTAATACTATCTGAAACCGTGTTTACATCGGAGTTTACAACATATGTTTAGGACAAAAGTTTACAACAATCCAATTTACAAACACCAGTTTAAGTTTAATATAATTCAACATTTTGAAAAGATGTGCTTTAAACAGTGATTATGTTTTCCAGTAGAATCTAGAAACACATAGGCTACTTTACATTCTAAACCAGGTGTATATCAAAGTTTTAAACATTTTTTTGTAACTTAAGTTTAAAAAAAAGATCCTTAAAACAAATTAATCAAACATAATTAATTTAACTAAACCATCTGTTTTCTTTCCAAGTGTGAACAATTAACCTATTCGTCTGTATTGTTTTGCAGCTTTTGACTCTGGTCACCCCGCTTCTACAGAGGTTGGAATGGTGTAGTGCTGGTGAAGTGATTGCCGCCATCAAAGTGTCCGACTGTCTACAATTCCTTCCCGAGGAAAGAGCCGGCCTCATCAACGGACACCCGATCTTCGGAGTGATCACAACGCAAGCCGTCTCCCCAGCACATTGCGAGTTGCAGACCGAAGGTACATTGTCTTTCTTAGTCTATTGTTGTTTATTGGGATGAGTCGATTCTCAATGCCTTATACCAACGATTCACATACGATTGACATTCGTATCAGTTTCAAGAACTGATCATGAAAAGTCCATGCTAATTTCAATACCCAAATGTCATCAATTGTGAGATTGAAAAATTGCGCTTTTGCCACGATCACAAATGTCAACGATGAGTCTCCTGTGATCGTGAGAGTCAATGATGATATCATACTGGCACACCTCTCGTAATAAAATTTCCTTTCGATAATTCTTTGCAAGATCTTGTTTACTATTGAAATGGTATTTATCTGATCTGTTTAGAGGGACTTACATGTGAACTGGTTAGTAAGAATTTCCCATTGCTGCTTTAATAAACATTAATTCAAAAACAGCACATCACTCCAAAATTAGGCTACTTAGTGTAAGGGCATAAAGACAGGGTTTGGTGTAGTATAATCTTTGACTATTCGACTATTGATACAAATAGACATTCCATCTTCACTTTGAAGTTGTCACCAGTTTTTTAATAAAAATCGTCGTAGTTGATGTGAGCCACCGACAGATTGAGCTGATGTTACTGATGCCTGTCGAATGCAAGATTTTTTTACGAAGTCAAACTGATGGAATAGCTAGAGTAAAAAATGTTGGAGACACCTGGTCAATGGTATACCAATCCATTTTTTTCAGGTCAGTATTGAGAATCAATATATTTTTTTATCGACACATTACTAGTTGTTCAGTAAATTTTTTTATATCAACATATTATATCTTACTTTTCAAAATCAAGGTTACAATAAAGTATTTATGCCATTACAGGATTACTCAACTGCAGAATACACAAGAAAGCCGAGTTTATGTTGAGTACTTTCGACTGTGAGAAACAACCGATCTGTCACGGAGGAACTCGAGTTGCAGCCGAGTTGAGATACAGAGATGCTGCGCAGAGGTAAATGGCATTGTGTAGAGAAGCTCATTACTAAGATACGTCAGATTTTAGCTTAAGTCTCGCAACTCTCAAATAACTCAATTTATCACAAGACAACAATACACTCTGCGTGTGTCTTTTACAATAGACAAATAGAATAAATATTGACCAACAGCAGTGCTGCGGTTAGCATATGTTCTGGCGTCCACCGCTAGAAGTGTAGTTACGGCGCACACAGCTGCAGTGTCTGCTAGTAGCATACGGCTCCTTGCCTGCAGCGGTGTACGCCATAACTACACTCCTAGCGGCACATCGTGGAATCATCCTTTGACAATCCATATTTATTCTACTTGTCTATGCTTTTACTAAATGAGAATGCAGAGTGATTTTAGTATCGAGTGGAGTGAACTGTGAGCACCTATTACACACTGATCTTCGAAATGTTAAACTACCTAGTTACACCTAGCAAATGTGATGATTTTGTTGACTAACCTAAGAGAAAATCTTAAAGGATTTGAGAAATGATTCTTCTATGTGGTGCAAAAAAAAGACATGAAACTCGTGTCAAACAGGGCTAAGAGTTTTCAATAGAGAGAGAATTATGTTTGTTGTATCTTGAGTCCATAATTTTCAAAAGGTAGAAAAGTAATAGTGGTACTCACACATACTATGTACAATTGAAATTATATATCCTCCCATTTTATAATAGCCGATGTGACAAAAACAGATTCCAAATTCACAATCTGTTATATAGTCAATTGGGTATGATGAAAAGCTGGTATTGGAGTTAGAGGGCAGTATTTGACATCAGAAAATCATCAGCACATTGTCATCTTTTTTATCTTAGCTATAAGTATTACAAAGTGTAATGCCAACTTGACCGAACCGTAGTGTATTAATGTTCAAAGATGTATTGAAAAAAAAGGTAATCATTTACTCTACGAGATTTTCTAAATATTAAAAAATAATGTTAACCTAATTTGTCTGCTATTACAATACTATAGATCTAATCAGAAACTAGAAATAAAACACATACATAGTTTCATAAAAACATATTAGCATTATAACTTGGTACTCATTTTCTTCTTCTAGAATATATACATGACCAGTCATACTCATCCACTTTTTATCACATATGACTGAGTTTAACCAGCTTAATTGCTCCATTTTAAAATCTGTCAGTGAAAACTATACACATGGACTAAGTTATGTTTGGTAGCTTCTGGGGTGTAAAAGTTGTAATTTTATGTTCAATAACCCTTGAATCAAGATTCATTTTTTTACATTACTCCTGACAACATTACAACGATTATAGTTTGACAATCAGGTGTGAAGACTCAGTTTTAAGCTACAAAAATATGTTTTATCTGTGGATTGTTGACCTAGTTTATCGTATTGATAACACTCACAATAAACGCACCCATCGGGAGAAACTGCTCGGTAAGTAAACTTATGTATGTTCCGCAGGAGAGTAGCAGTGCATGTGACAGACAGAGGGGATGGAAGTTACACGGTAGAGTTCACTCCAGATGCTTCGGGCAACATGAGTCTCAATGTGACAATTCAGGGCAAACATATTCAGGTGAACAGCTGATAAATGTGTTGGTGATTAAAAAAAGATGAAGATACATTTTCCTGCAAAAATACAGCATTATACAAAAAGGAATGGTCAAAATTTAACAGGTGGATTCTGTTTGATACATTGAACTGTAATGCCTACTATTGAAGAGAATGTTTTATGTTTGTTTAATATGATGATACGTTTAGTCTTGGACTTGGTTAACTAACTGTGACAGACTTGATTGTAAAATAGCAACCGCAAAACAATAAAAGGTCTGTAGTGAGTCCAAGTTTGCTTAACTAAAGCCGTTGGCTGATCAACAAAAAAACAAAAGATTCTTTTCACCCCAAAATGCATATATGTTAATGTTAAGGGAGGTTGAACTGTGACTACGCATCCAGTTACGATAAAGATCATGATACTGATATTTTGACTGAAAAATCATAATTTTCTCAGGTAAACTAGCTAAAGTATCCCTCTTCAAAATAATTCCTAACCAGCCACCTAACTTTCTTTTTAAATAAAAGATAACTACTTGGTTTGAAACCGGTTCTCTTTCCAATTCTGTTAATTGGTCTCAGTGAGTGTGATTGGTCTATTTTTAATTTAAATCTATTGCACACTAAGATAAAGTTTCTTGCAGGGAAGTCCGTTCAATGTGTCCGTGTCTACACTTCGTCCACACCCCGGAGTGTACCACTGTTGTACGTTTTGTTCAAGCAACGGAAGCAAGGAGGCACAGTGTGGCTGCGGAGGGAAGATGCCGGGTAAGTCCAAAATCGATTGACAAATCATTCCCTTATAATAGAATAATTTAGAATGGCGAACAGGATGCATAGCTGAATCCTATTCCCAGAACCATCACTTTTGTTGTGTTGTGTAAAATATTTTCGTTACATTTGATTTAATCAAAATTCCTCCAAGTCTGGTGGAGGAAGTTTTCTGACACTCTAGTAATATTGTCCCTTATGTCTAATTATCACCACCAATACCACTGTAATAACAAAATTCCACTAATCTTGAATGAATAGTAATTCATCAAGCTTATTTAACTACTAACATGATTATAACTTTTATTTAACCTCAACTGCACGTCACCATGGACTTGTACACTTTAACTTGTCTGTGCAGTAACCTTAAGACAGTGAAGTAGAGTTACAGCATATTTCACATGACCTAGCCAGTGTTGAGTGCAAAGAGCATCAGAGTAAATTATAGGCCTGTGATTTTCTCGAATTGCTATCAGTGTAAAAATTTCAGATGCAAATGTAGCCTATTTATTCTGCATGTCTTAGTATCACAATTCTTTGCAACAAATACACAAGACTAAATTTACCTTGCTCTTACTTGCCTATTAACCAGTTTATTACTCCATTGTTTTAATTAAATGCACCATTGGGCATTTAACATTCTTTGTAAATGAAAAGTACAAACCCTTTTTATTCATTTTTTTCATACTTAAATATGTTTTTTGTCAGTTACACAACATTTTTGTACAAGTAGATAATGATTCTACAGGTTACCGGGGTTGTGGTCACGGCCATGCTGGCCACCCTGGCCGCAGACACTGGTCTTGCTGCGGAAACCTACTGCATAACTCTGAGTGCAGCCGCGCGCCTGACTACCAATACACCCTGTGATAATGCAGCAGCTACACTGCACTCAAAGGATTCATTTGTATATATTAGAAGTTATAAAGGGTGCACCAATAAGGGTTGAACCATTGACTTGGGGAAACGGGAATACATATCCCATCTAGATTTTTTAAACAGAATATAATTGAATAAGACGTACATAGTGTGCTGTCAAAGTTTGCTTATTCTTAATGTGACTAATTGTACTATAACTTTTGATAACATATAAAAGATGATAAGTTTACATTTCCTGATAAGTTGTCCTTTTATGTTTGTTGAAAAGAGTGTGTATTCGACAGAACTCAATAATTTACACCAGCAAACTTGAACTATGATCATTTTCGTTCTAGAAATGACGACAACTTTAACATGTGAATCGTGTTTCTATCAACTGTCAAAGGTATTTTAAAAGCGTTCTAGTTTTAATTTGTTTCTTTTTAATTATTCAGTTAACTTTGTTAAGGTTTTGACTTTTGAGTCTAAAATTTTGTCTACTTATAAACTTTCAAAATTACAAAACTCTAGCAAACTGTCAAGAATGAAAATATGTCAAAAACCAACACACTACCATTGAGTATACACGTATAAGAGGGTTAATAGTTATGTTAATAGTTGTTACCGATTTTGGCGAGGTAGTTCGGGCCGCTGACGCCTGTGCCGTGGTGGTCGGTTGGTAGTGCGCCTCTAAAAACCTTTTAAACATTTATTATTAAAAACGTATTATAAAACAATGAAACTACGACCAAACTAACAAATTTCATCAACAAAATTGACATTTCACAACCTACAGTGAAAGGAATATTAAAAAACAACCAAACTACCTTACCAACATGCCGGAGGTGGAGTAATACGGGCCACTGACGCTACTCTGAACGTTGTTCATGTAATGATAACCTCCATTGAGTATCTACTCTAGTACACTCAACAACACTACTTATTTCCTTGTGGGCCTATAAGCAATGTAAAAAAATGAAGCAAATCGTAACACTGACTTTTTTAGATAAAGAAACTTTTACGCTGCCACCTATTCCACACAAGTTTTCCTTTCAATTAGGTTGGTTATATAAAGTTTGCATATTTGTCTGAAAACAATAATCGATAGCAGGGCACTATGTAGGTGGCTAAATTTAACTACACTACTATAACGACTTCTACTTAATAGTCAAGGGTTTAACAAAATAATTCACCCGTCGAAAATTAAATAATTTTGATAAAAAATTGTGTAAATAGTATCCAAACAATTTTCTAAAATAAATTATAATGGTTTGCTCTTGGTTGTTACTTAGCAGTTTGTTGAGTAAGTTGTTCAGTAAAACTTAGCGTAGTGTTGCAAAATATGAAACTGTATGATAAGCAGATTTTAGATATATCAGACTAACTAAACTGTAAATAAGTTTAAAAAATATTTTTTAGTATGAAAGGTCATCATGTACTTCAATAGTACAGCATGGGTAATATTTAAAATTATTTATTGTACAAATTATATTAGCTATGTCACTACCCTTTCAAGATCCTGATGTGTCACACCACAACATCTTTGTGGGATTAGCTAAGCTATATTTTAATACAAAAAGTGTGAAATTTAAATAAAGATGCGTTTTATGAATCACTGCCATGTTTTTATTATATTTTAAATTCTTTCAATCTGTATTTATTTTCATTACATTAAACTTACAGTTAGTTATGAACAGTGGTGTAGTGGAACAGGAACTTGTAAGAACTCTTTTTCCCTTTTGAAAAAGAGATCCTTTTCCCACTCTGCTTTTTCCAAAATTTCGCAAATCAATAAGCATCTCGTGTTTCTGAGACTAATGTGAGCCATCATGCACAGGAACGTTTTTGACCAAACCACTGGTTACAAACAACTAATGAAAATGCCTTTAAAAACTTGTAGCCTATATACTGGACCCCTAAGTGCCAAGAATTACTAACAAAAGGGGTGTAACGAATTTAAGCCCAAATAAGTAATTCAGAAAATAGGTTTCATCTACTGAGCATGGATGAATGAAAAAGTTAGAATTAGAATGTAAAAAGGGTAACAATTTAATAACATCTGGAGTTTGATTAATAAACTAACCACATGGATACACCACAAGGAGGTACCCGTTTAGTTTAATCATAGACTAAAGCATTAAGCAACACAAGTAGACTTCTCATCCCATTGTAAATTTTGAAGCTTGTTTTTCGTGTCTAGTTCATGTACGTCAACACTGATCGCTAGTGTAGACTAAATTGTGTTTCTTTTATTTTAGGGGTAATTTAATGATTTCTGCTTTACTATTAGGTTATAACTAGGAGACCAGTTATTGTTTATGATTAGATTATTTCACTTGGCTAAACGAGGCTTTAAATGACTGAAATAAAAGGAAACAAATTGTAAACAAAACACAACCTCTACAATACGACATACAGAACTAACAATAAAATTGGCTTCAGGTGTTCCATAAGGATGACAAATAGGCCTATACTAAGTGAGTATGATTTATCTATGGTTCAATTTAACCACAAATGACCAATTACTCGATTAGATTAGAGACAAATCTTGTTTGGCTTGGCCTCAACAACCACCCATACAATCCTTATTTTGACTACCTTTTAAGGGATTTATAAAGAACCAAGAGTTTTTTTAGAGGTTGGCGGACTCTTTTAAAAACTTGCATTTGCCTGTCTACAACGGCCTCTGGCTTGGGTGCAAAACTTATCAGCAAAGCAAGGGGTTTGTTTATGATAAACGGTTCAGTACAAGGGTGAACTGTACTGATAAAAAGCTGTGGCAGGTACCAGGATCCGAACCCATGATGTCGCTGCCTTGTGCTCAAAGTTTGTGGTGCTGCTGACTGAGCCTCCAACTCACCTAATAGTAGGCCCTCACTACTAGAATAAACTAAATGAAAATGGTCTATGTGATTTAGACAATGTTACAGATTTTCTATTGGATTCTGTTAGAAATTTCAAGTTTCAAGATCTTTGACGATCTTCGTGATTTAAGAAGGCTGGAAAACACTATCAAACTGTATCACTGATCTTTCTAATGTGTAATGGTAAATGTTATACTACTTGTCGTAGTCACTGTATGACTTACTAGTCATATAACGACATACTAAACTAAACAATATCTACCGAGGAACTAAGCTTCTGTGGAAGTATCCTTGTTTAGTAAAATCTTATGTATATTACTAAATATTTGAACTTTTAAAACAGATTTTTAATTTATAAACAAATTTAAAAAAAATGAAAACACATTTCCAACATTTATCACCACTAAATGGTACACAAGGGCCTATTGTATAGAAACACCTTTGCACACTGGTTAAGCTGAATATATTTCTCGCTATTACAATTCTCGAGGAGAACTTGCACTATTTTCCTACGATTATTTAGTTAAATGTAGTCTGCTGGGCTTAGTTAATCTGTAACAATACGAGAAATTGTAAGAGGATTGTGGAAAAAGATAAAAGCATGCTTTTAGATTACAAGTATATAATACTGTACAGTCCTTTTGTATTTGAAAAAATCTAACATTCAATATAAACTCTTATAATGGCAGTCTGTATCTATATACAAAACAAATAAAAATAAACTAATCTAATCTGCTAGGGATTCTTCTTCTTACTTTCTGTCGGCTTCAGGGAGTGCATCATATTATCTTTGAGAGACTGTCCTCTTCCTTTCAGAATTTCCTTCTTATCCTGATATATTTCCTTCAACTTCTCTTTGCTAGGCATGGGTTTTATGTATCCTCGCTTCTTCAAAAAGTTTATGGACACTGTTGTACCACCTAGAAAATTCAGAACAAAGATTAGCCAGATGTTGCAACAATTTTTGATAAGAGGCATTAAACAAAGAGATTGTTTTAAATCCCTCCAATGAAATCAGAGATCATACAGACGATTTTTGAATGTTAAGCACAATAAAATATTTATTACTGCTTTTAAGTTCTTGACGAAACCTCATTTCTTTAGTAAGGACTGTGACTGTAGGCCTACATTAAGTTGTATAAACATTTTGAACATTTTTAAATCTTCTTAATTCACTGTATCGTGTGAAGACCTATGTTTATCAATCATAATGAGTGTTACGGTACACATTATTTTCATTTAGTCTTGATCTAGCAGAAGATACATTTTTATTTTGGCTAAAACTTTTAATGATTTTGTTGTGAAAATTAAATTTAACTTTTTTTATATTTGACTGTTTTATTTAAAAGTAATTAACCCATAAAATGACAAAACTTTAACTATTTTTGTTCTTTGTTATCCCAGTTTCAAGAACTTGAATCATATTAGAATTACCTTTATTGTTGGTGCCTGATGCTTTAGAAGATGTTTGTGTCAGCCTAAGTGTTTTGCCACCTTGTTTGGTATCTTCAGGGGCCTTCTTAAAAATGTATCTATTATCTATATTATCACAAGGTCTATATTATAGGTAATTATAGGTCTTTCATGTTTCGGAAACACAGTAATAAACTGGCAACACCACAGAGATGAAAGCACCAGCCCGACCATATACCAAGAAAATCTAAACTACCCTCAACCATTGAACGGTCCAGATGCCAAAAACCACAGTCCAAGAAATGAAACCGAATAAGAAAGACTTCTTGCTGTGACTGTCCTGTGTCCGTCGTCCAATCTACCTTACCATGATACTAATGACCGCATATGTTAACATTTTATTGTAAATATAGACCACACAAGCTGGTAAATGCATAGGGGGACACTAACGTCTTACCAAGAACTCTCAGGCAGCATCAAATGTAAATTGAATATAACAAATCGTTAAACTCTTACCCAGAGTCACGGTGTACCGGAGTGGGGTAGCGATCTTGTAGAGAGCATATGATATTGCGAGGTAACCAGTCGTTGCATGTCCGTTACGTAGAGGATTGATTAGCTTGTCACTAACATTCAGCTGTTCTAGCAGGGCAACTATGTCAACTCCACTGAAAATAGAAAATTGCTAAAACAACTGTTAAACATAAAACAAATAATTGGTGTTGGGATTCAGTCTTTTAGAAGGAACAACATTTATTATGTCTTTTAGAGAATATTCACTTACCTAGGCTTATAGGGAATAAAAGCTAGGCTATTAAGTTTACCGTAGGTCTAGATTTACTTTTATGTTTTGAGATGTTCAGAGGCTAAAAAACTTGTTTATGATTGATTTTCCTTTATAATAATAGGAGTAAAATGACTACACAGTATGGTTTCTAAAGTCCATAGTGGAAGTGATGTTTATTTACAACAAATTAATAAACAAAGCAATCACATGGCATACAATTAACACATGACAGCTGCTTCTAACTTAGTACCAAGAAGGCAATGAGGAACAAGATTATAAATAAATTCCAACAAAAAAGATAATCCGTTCAAATGTATATATAAATATTGACACATGTCTATGTCCGTTAGCGTTATAACTCGAGCAAAAATGATCAGATTCGATAAAATTTGGTAAAACGACCTAAACATACATATATATTCGAATGAGTTATTGACCCAGCATGATTACATTTAGTTATAATAAAAACTAATAAAAACGTTTTAATAAAAATTAACAGCTGTTTCGTTAAAAAGTATTATTATACTTTATTTATATTAGACTGTGGTATTATACTGTATGGCCAAAATGTAAACAAAGCTGTGGAGGGATCTTTAAAGGCTTCTGGGGCAGAGCCCTAAGCGAATTTACTTCGTTTGTCTTTTGATAACTCATCTACAGACCAAGACCTTTCTTTGGACACCTCTATCAAGTTTCTACGCCCAGCCGTTCTCTCAAATTAGTGGAGACAAAGTTTCAAATTAAATATTTAGATTCCCCAATGTTAAT